CAGCACCTCCCTGTTTCATACCATCAGCAGACCTGCTAATGGGGCATTCAGTTCCTGCCTCCAGGTCACTGAGAGATATTTTGAACAGCACTGGCCCTAGAACTGATCCTGAGGAACGTCACCGGTGACCGGTCACCAGCCAGATGTACCCCAATGCTGATGCCTCACCCTCTGCCTTCCTCCTGCCCTGGGACAAAGAGGAATACCTTATTGCTTCTAGGCACTTCTTCTCTGAGAAAGTCCAACCATACACAGAGACTTTTTTGATATTCAAAGAGCACAGAGAACCTGCAGTCAGTAGAAATGGCAATATCTGTTCAGAAAATCACATCACTTTCCTTTCTAGCCTATAGGGAACAGATGAAAAACAAGCTACAGCTGTGAGATTTTTGAAATTGAAAGCTTGAAATGAGCAGGGCACAGGCCCCTGGATCAGGGTCTTAGAGCTCAGTCTGCTACTCAGTGAGGTGAGAGGATTACATCATCTTTTGGTACCTGCTGCCCACTCCTGAAACTCCAGACAAAGGAACCAACTTCCAATTCTCAACACTTTGATTCCCCATTTACAAAAATAAGGCAGGAGTTTGACTGATGTGGCAAAACAACTCATGTGAATTCTCATGCTGTTTATACTTGAGTAGATGAATAGCAGTCATTGATTAGTGTAAAAACAGGAATCTGTTAAGAACATTAGGGAAAACAGCGAAATATGAAAACTCTACTAATTAATAGGATGTTGCTACTCAGCAGATATTTTTCACCAGGCAGCACTTTGCTCTTTATCTGATCTGTTTTTCCAAATAGCTTCAAACAATACTTGTTTTAATATTATTTTCAGGATAGGCTACCAAGAATGCAAATCATTCGAATAATTGTTTTCTAGTGGGAGAGAATTTGTGTTTTGAAAGAGAGGGGGGATTTCTCATTTCTCTGATCGATCCAGCACTTGCACCATCTCTGAGGGATTAAAAACTGCATCAGCTCTGCAGAATTGTGGCTGCTCAGTGTACAAAAGGGAACATGACTGAAACAGGACAAGTAATGTATGGGTTTGGTATCAGAAAAAAAGATACCTGGTACCAAAATGTCCTGTGTAAAGGTGCCAGCTTCTGTTCCAGGTATGCATCTGGCTAATTTGGCACCGCTGAGTGAGCTGCTTACCTTCCACATCACTGAGAGCCAACAGGAAAGTTGGGGCCTAGGATCACCAAGATCCCATAAAAATTACTGTCTGCTTTCCAAATTTCCACACTAACCTTTTTTTATTTTCTTTTTTTTTTTTTAAAATATTAGGAAGATAGCCAGAAATTGAAAATTATCTTGCTAAGCAGAGGAGTCAAAACTCAAAGGGAATTATTTGCTTTTCTTTAAAGGAGACACAGTAGTATGTAAGGCACCTAAAACAGAGACTAGAAATGTTGAGCTACATGAAAAACTGAGGTTAAAAAAAGTGAAAAAACATCTAAGCTCAGTCTAAGCTGCTGGCTTTTGGAATGCAGACATAAACCAGAGGAAACTCTTCTGCCAAGTAAAATGACTGGGGAATAAGCAAGCAGAATGATCTGAAAAATATGGCATTTTTAAAATGATGGATGAATGGACTAAAGAAATAAGATAAAACTATGCCGTCAAACAGAGTGGTATTCTCAGTGTAAAGCTTACTCTCCATTTGCATGCTGACCATTTATAAAGAGTTGCAGATTTCCTAATTACCAAATTTAAAAATTGTGATGATGAAAAGAAATATTTATGTTGAAAAGAAATATTTTCTTTATGAGCCTCTAGGGGGTTTTTGTCTCATTTTCCAACATGGAACCTTTGAATTAAATACTTTTTTTAAAAAAAAGAAAACAACCAAAACTTTGAGATACTACTGAACTCACCTGTTCAGCACTGGCAGGTAAACTTCATAAAATATATCAAGCTGAAAGAAACTCATCAGGATGGTTGACTCCAACTCCTGGCCCTGCACAGGACATTCCAAGAGCCTGAGAGTGTTGTCCAAACACTTTTTGAACTCTGTTGGGCCTGGTGGCTGTGACCACTGCCCTGGGGAGCCTGTTCTAGTGCCCAACCACCCTCTAGGGGAAAACATTTTTAGTGACATTCAGCCTAAACCTCCCTTGACTCAGCTTCATGTTGCTCTCTTGGGTCCTGTCACTGGTCACAAGAATGAAGAGATCAATGCCTACCCCTCCTCTTCCCCTCAGGAGGAAATTTTAGCCTGCAGTGAAATCTCCCCTCAGTCTCCTCCAGGCTGAACAGACCAAGTGACCTCAGCTGCTCTTCATAGGGCTTCCCCTCCAGACCCTTCATCATCCTCATGGCCCTCCTTGGGAGGCTCTCTAATTGCTTTATATCCTTCTTATATTGTGACACCCAGAACTGCCCCCAGCACTGGAGGTGAGGCTGCCCCAGCTCAGAGCAGAGCAGGACAATCCCCTCCCGTGCCCAGCTGGCCATGCTGTGCCTGATGTCCCCCAGGACAGGGCTGTCCCTCCTGGCTACCAGGGCACTGCTGGCTCGTGTTCAACTTGCCATCGACCAGGACCTCCAGGTCCCTTCCCATGGGGCTGCTTTCCCCTCATTCCCCACTCTGTCTGTCCATCCAGGGCTGTCCCGTCCCAGGTGCAGAACCCTGATCTGTTATCCCAGGGACCACTCCATATGTTACTCTCCCAGTCTTCTGGGGATGCAATTCATTTACTAATCTGCACAATGTCAGGAGGGTTTGGAGCCCACATAAGCATTAGGTCCACTTTTTACTTCAACTTTTGTTTTTCTTTCAGTTCCTCCTGTAGCTGTCTCTCTGGAGCTATGTTCTATTTTGAAGGGCAGTAGTAACTTGGTTGCTTTCCATCTCAGTTTTCTGTCCTTGTTTCTCTTTAAAGTCCTTGTTTATCTTTTTTGTAGTGGCAGGCAGCTTCTGGACAGTTACCTAACATTTTGCCAATAATCACTTTCTCCTAGCCGTTATACAGCCCCTAGCAACTTACAGATGTTACTCCACAGCTTTCCAATCACACCAGTTATCCTGAGCCCATTTGTCTGAGAACTTAGGACTTGGACTTCTTCCATGCTTTTGTAAGTAGTCAGTGATACTGCTTGCAAACCCGCTGACTGCACCAGTTTTTGGCAAATGTGTGTTTTAAGGTCACTTAACAAATCACTGGCATAGGTATAATCAAAACCAGGTTTAATATAGAAGCGAAAGCACAACAGAGTCCTTTGGCAAGGTTTACTATACTACTTACCAGATTGTTAAAAAAAGCAAACAAAAACCAAGTATCAACCAATCCAGACTGAAAATATCCCCAGAGTATCTCTGGGGAGGACTGCAGCTCCTGACACGTGGTGAGACACCAACTTCTTTCCTCAGGGCTTTGTCCAGGACCTGCTGGGTGATCAACTGGCCTTCACTCCTGACCTTTCATACACAAGGAGACAATATGGAAAAGATTTTTCAAAAATCAATCCACTGATATACAAATCAGAACAGTAGTAGACTAGTCAAAATATGGAAAACTGCATGTTTTTCCTGGCAAATTTCTGTGTATCAACATTTTACCTACTGCAGCAGAAAATTTTGAGGTCAAGTTTCTTCAGCAAAGCAGAAAAATGAGTTGGTTGTAAAGGAATGTGTTTGTTTCAATTGTTACATATCAGTTATCTATAAAACACCCATTTATTGTACTGTCATCTCTCTCTGCAATTTCTGTAGGCTATTTTAGCCACCTAAAACAGCTAAGTTCATAATACAGGGACAATCACAGAATCTGAATTCAGATGAAAAATAGTAGAAGACTCTGGTTTTCCAGGTTTCAACACATTTTAGTATGAATATAGAATAAGCATTCTAGGCTACTTTTTAATTCTCCAGCTATTATCAATAATAATTTTTTAAATGTATTTACTCTAGGAATTGATTCAGTTTGGTCACTGAGAATTTCTCTGCTTCACTGTTGTATGGACTGTCACAGATTCAACACAGGACAGTTCTTTTCAGTGTGAACTAAAGGGAAAAGTCATCCCTTCTGTGCTGACATGCATCATCCCTGTGAGTGTAGCCCCAGAACTGAAAGCAACCCACTTCTCTCAGCACCTTGCAAGTCTGCTTACAGCATAACACTGCAGTGCATTTCTCCCACTCCCACTCTCTGCAGTGTCAGTAGAGGGTGAGAAAGACCCCAGAACATGAGTTGCTCAGTTTGTCCCCAAACCCACTTTGCACTTATTTCAGAATAAGCAAGACCATTTCAAAAATCAATGGTTTCCACAGGGCATGTATAAGCAAGAGATGATGCTCCCTCTTGCAAAAGGGCTGCTGAGTGCTTGAGGTGGCTGTTACTACAAAAATATTCCATATCAATAAACTACCATATGGTTTTCTAGAAACCTGCTCCACCCCAGTGCAGCACTCTGATATTTCATTGCTGTGCCTGCTTCCCCATGTGACATGTGCAGAATCTCAGAAACTGCTTGTGTGCCTATTCACGCCTCCATTCAGCACTGTGCCCGCTCTCCTTCACTTCCTCCAGCATTTAACAGTGTAGGATAAAGAGACGTGTATGGCATTAGGAAATATTTCTCCCCTTGCACTACTTCGCCTTTGCCTTCTGTTTGCTTGGCAAACAGGGAATTTTTCTCAAGGACAGCTTTGCACAAGTAGCTGTGTCAAGCTTATTCTGCTTCAGGACAAAGATTCACTATTCCAGTGTTTGCTTTGGAGCGAGGATTTGGACGTGCGTTAAGTAACAAGAGATTTTAACGGATGCCTTGAAGGCTCTAAAGCCAGAGAAAGAGAAGCAATGCATCATTTCATATCTCCAGCTTAACTGATGCCTTTCCCCTTTCAAAACACAAGATATTAGCAAGTTGTCTGGTTCAAGAGCATCAGTTCATGGAAGGAGTGGGTACCCACCCAATAAGGATAGAACAGCTGCAGGGAGAAAAACCATTCCATCTGCTCACAAACATAATTCCTCTGTTTTCTGTTCCAGCTCATCCTCGCCACATGGGAAGGCGGCTACAACTTGCAGTGCCAGAACCTCCACAGTGCAGGGGAGGCTGATATCCGGGTGAGAGACAAAAACAGCTCAGCCCTCAGCATCCTTTCTGTTTTAACTGTCTTTAACCATCCCAGGACGTATCCTGAGCTCTGGTAAAATATCTCTGCTCTAGAGGAGGATATAGTTCATCGTATTGAGTATCAGATTTAGATTGTTAGAGAAGAAAAATCTGGCAGCGAAATCTGTTCAGTGTGAAGAAAAGTGATAGCACCCTTAAAAAAAACAAGCAACCCCAAAATGAAATAAAAACCTACCCACAAAACTGCACCTTCAGGAAAAAAAAATTAGAAAATCCTTCCTCAAAGTTTATATTCCTTAAATTCTATATTTATACAATTGCTTAAAAGATGTGTGTCATTGTGTCAGTGAAAAGCAAAATAAAATTGAAGACAGAGCTCATGCTTCTCCTTTGATATCGTATCAATGCCTTCTGGGAAGTTGCATGCCTAGGGAGTGAAGAAGTACAGTAATGTTTAAGCACTTATATGGACAGATATTGATCTCCTGCTCCTTTGTTCTTGCTTGTACAGGTAGCCAAAGTGCTGTGGTGGTATTATTTTTCCAAAGTAATTGAATTCATGGACACTATCTTCTTTGTACTGAGGAAGAAAAGCAGCCAGATCACCTTCCTTCATGTGTATCACCATGCCACTATGTTTAACATTTGGTGGTGTGTTCTGAACTGGATACCTTGTGGGCAGAGTAAGTCTTTGTTTGCTTCATCACCCCGGGTCTAAGTCAGCTGCAGGTGGGGAGGAATCATATCACCAGGAGCTGTGCAAAGGAATTGTGTCACTGTGCAAAGGAATTGTGTCACTGTGCAATTTGAGGGCATCATCAGAGCCTTTCAGAAATGCTGACCACTTGCAGAACACTGGAAAGTTAAAAGCATGGTTAAAAGTTCAGGCCAAAAATACCCAAGTGTTAGGCCCTAGATTTTTCACTTAGCTGCCACAAACCCATGTATTTACTTCTCTTCAAACCACTTTTAAGCACAGCAGTACTGAGCAGCACAGAAGAGCCATCACACACAAGACCTACTCCAAAAGCAGATGCAGGAAGAAGTCATGACCCTGGTAAAGCCTTTATCAATCACAACAAATTGAATCAATGGCCTTTTTACAGGCTCAACTCTTGCATGCATCAATCTCTGCTTTACCAAGATACTTTACTTACACAGTCACTAATTAAAATGCAAGTTTGAATTGATTCTGTTTTATATGAGAATACATCCTTATGGAAGGTTACAGTAACTGTCATCATCTTCCCTGTTAGGAAGGGATCTATGATACCACAGGCTGGTCATTTGGCATTTGTGTAAGTCCAGACAGCAGAGAACTATTTCAGCTGTCTCACAACAGGCACGTTTTTCCAGGGCTTCACACAGCCATAGGCTTCCTGTGGAACTGCTTTCAAAGTTGATAAAAAAGCCTCAGTTTTCTTGTAACCTATTAGAGGGAGTCACCTCAGCCCATTGTAACATTTTGTAAAAAACTTGTTGTAGGTCTCTTTCAGACCTAAAAGCAGAATTCACATTTGTTGGTGCTAACTATGGATAGCACAAAATCAATCGCTGCTAGAGGTAGAAGCAGGGATCAGAGATTTCACAGCAGTTAGGAGCTATTTCTAGAGGTGTAAACAAATCAGTGGGGGTTTGTACCTCCTAACATGTGGTCCCCACATTTTGCACTAGCACTGCTCTACTGTAATTAAATCAGTAGCTAAGGAATTAATCAGTGGCAAAATCAGAACTGGTGAGTCCATCTTGTAGTTGCAGCAGTGCCACCAAACACAGAAGCACACAGCACAGAGTAGTGCTGCTACTTCTCCACAGTCTGCAAAGTAGAGGATAATTAATTTCCTCTAGAACTAGTATTCTCTAAATACAACCAATAAGAGCAGCAAGGTATTAGCTGGGATGAAATTTTGTAAATGTGTATCAAGCAGTAGAGCCAAGGAAGAAAACAAGAGCCATGATCAAACACAGCCACAAGAGGTTGGTTTAATTCAGAGCAAAGCCCTTGCTACTGCATCAGAGAGCAGAAAGACAGGTGTCTCCCAGGGTCCTAAGCTGCATATTAGCAGCAAAGTCATCCACAGCAGTGTTTAAAGCTTACAGGAATAATGGAAAGGCTCATAGCAAGAAGAACTTTAAGAGAGGGGAAAAATAGCCTAAACTACAGAACAGGAAAAAAGTGAAGGAGAAGAAAAATATGAGATAAAAATACAATATTCAGCATGAGAAAAACCCTCTAGGAAGTATTTGGTTTTCCAGTTGTCCCTAGGAGAAGACCTCTACATATCATGAATATCTTTAGCAAGGAATAAGCATGAAAGGAATACTCATTATGTATAAGAGATTCAATATAGAAGCAATATCACAAGCAATAATGCCTTCTCACTTTCTAGCAGTTGGTATTTCATTGGGTTTTTTTCCCTAATGGATTTTTATAGGTTTCTTTGGACCCACTTTGAACAGCTTTATCCACGTGCTTATGTATTCTTACTATGGACTGTCAGTCATCCCTTCTATGAGAAAATATCTCTGGTGGAAGAAATACCTCACTCAGGCACAACTGGTATGTATCTACTTTACTCTCATTTTTAACTACCAGAAATCCCTCAAAATGTGAGAGAGGACTAAATGAACTATAGGTAAACATTGTTGTTTACACAATTAAGCCAGATAGAATTGAAGTATAACAAAACTATCATACAGCATAAGTCACTAGCGTAGCTTGATTTAACTTAATAAAGGAAATTATGTTCAGAAGTGTTTTCTGAAGAAAACAAACAGTAGAAAATCTTTAGTCCACAAAATTGTTAGTTTTGAACCACTGCATAGAAAATGACTGCTCCTTAATTGTGGAAAAAATTTATTTAAAAGTCACAAAAAAAAGTCTGACAGAGCCAGCTCCAAGACAGACCTCCCCTGCTGGCCAAAGCTGAGCCCATCAGCAAAGCTGGGGGCACCTCTGTGATACCATATTTATTTAAGGGTGAAAAACAGCACAGAAGCTGAGAGAGAAGACAGGAAATGTGAGAGAAACAGCCCTGCAAATACCCAGGGCAGAGCAGAAGGAGGGAATTAGCACCAAAAACTCCCCTGCAGCCTTTGGTGAAGATGCTGGTGAAGCTGTTCCCCTGCAGCCCGCAGAAGTCCATTGGGGAGCAGGGACCCACCTGGAGCCCATGGAGGACCTCATTCTGCAGCAATGGACACGTCTGCCCTGAAGGAAGAGACAGCCAGCAGAAAAGTAGGCTCCTGTGGACCCATGGGGAGAGGAGCCCACCTTGGAGCAGGTTTGCTGGCAGAATCTGTGACCCCAGGGGCACCCACAAAGGAAGAGCCTGTTCCTGAAGGACTGGACCCTGTGGAAGTGACCCACACTGGGGCAGTTTGTGAAGAGGTGCAGCTCATGGGAAATACCCACACTGAAACTCTCTCCCATGGGAGGGACCCCAGACAGAAGCAGGAAAAGAGTGTGAGGAGAAAGAAACAGCAAAGCCAAAGCAATGTGGGCTGAGAACCCCATCCTCCTGCACCACTTGGAAGGAAGTAGAGGAGTCAGAAGTGAAGCTGAACCTGAGGAGAAACAGGGGCTTAGGGAAAGGTGTTTTTAATTTTATTTCTTGTTCATCTTCTGTGTTATTAATTGGCAATACTTGAAATTAATCTTCTTCAAGTCAAGTCTATTTTGCTTATAACAGTAATAGGTAAGTTTTATCAATTACCCTCCCTACCTTTATTTCAATCCACAAATTCTTTTCATCTTATTTTCTCCCCCTACTCTACTGAGGAGGAGAGGGGAGAAAGCTGCTGGGTGGGCAGCTGGCAGCCAAGTCACGTTAACTCACAACACAGTGGTAAAACTACAAAATTATGTAAACAAACTTTAGTCAATACAGAAATTGACTGACTTCTAAAAGTCTGTTCCATGGGAATGCTGTGCCTGAAGAGCTGAGCCAGATCAAAAGTTTCTATCAACAAGATACAAGGCTTGATATGAAATAAAGTGCCTTTTACTTTTTTTCTCTTAGGGTCTGTTCATATTATTTGGAAGTTCAGATGTTTGCAGTGAGCTTTAAAATTCCTGTGTAGAAATTTTCTTAGCAAAAAGCTGCTTCTCTGAGCTGAGACCATCCCTGCAGGTGAAACACACTGCCCTGTTGGAAATGCGCCTCAGTACACTGAATTGAGCTGTACACTTACCCAGCTGAAGAGAATCAGGTGCACCAGTGTACCAGTGAGGGCTGTGGCTCACAGTTCTAAATACAGACAAGTCTCTGCAATTTCTTCCCTGTCTCTTTTTTGCTTCCTTCGTCCCCTCCTTAACTTCATTAATGCAAGTGATAGCCTATCTGAGCTCCTTGGACCTGAGCTTTGCATTTTCTGTTCAGACTTCTAAAGCTATTGACAGGACTCTGAAGAGTTTCCTCCAGTTTCTGCCCAGTAACAGAGACAGCACCTGTACCTGTCACAAAGTCTGGAAGACAGAGCAGCACCTACTAAATCTGAGAGACAAAGAAAGCTTCCCTTTTGTCAACTAAGCCTATAAACTTACTTTTAGAAACCTCTGACCCCTTAGGGTTTTATTTAATTTCACAAGAGCACCGTTTTAACTTAACCTTCACAATGCATTCAGAGGGTAGAAAGGAATAGTGTTCAAGAGCACTCAAACTTTCAAGGAGCAGGATAGGGGACATTGCTGTGTCTGATTTAGCTAGCACTGACCCTTTCTCAGCAAATACTCCTGCATTATCTTCTCTCTGCAGATCCAGTTTCTGCTCACTATTGTGCACACACTCAGTGCAGCTGTGAAGCCATGTGGATTCCCATTTGGCTGCCTCATGTTCCAGTCCTCCTACATGGCCACACTGGTCATCCTCTTCATCAACTTCTACATTAAGGTAAGCAGTCTTCTGAGAGCTCTCTGACAAGGATGGGGAAAACAGAGCTTTTTGCCTAGTCTGGGTGGACTCAGATGTAGAATGATTGTCAGTGCTTAAAACATTTTAGTCTTAAAATACTTAATAACAGATACAGTCATGTCTGAGAGAGAGAGAGATTATTCAATAATGAGGAGCCCCTCATTACAGCTTAGCTCTTCTGCACTTGTATAGCAAGTCAGGTACCGCATTCAGTACATAGGAGGTCTGAATTTGCTTTGGTAGGCAAATTCTGGAATCTCTCTCCTCCTTAGGGGGGAAAAAGAAAAGAAACTAACAGCTCTGTCTTTGCCTTGTTTACTTCAACATCTTTTAGCAGGGAGTGCTCAAGCCTGCCTGAATACATAAAGCTTTTAGTGTACAAGGCTTGAAATCTCTTTTGACACTAAGAAGTATTACAGTAAGGCTAGTAAAGTAACATCACCCACAGCAGTGAAAAGACTACAGTCTTAATGCAGTCTGAAACAAATATATACATCTGCATCAACAGCAGACAAGTTCCATTTTCAGTTAACCATAAGCAGTGTTTTGGCGGGCACTAAATGAAGCCAGGTGTTTACTTTGGATTTTGCTTTATAGACATACCGGAAAGCACCTTCAAGAACAGCTGTAAAGGAAACCCCTGTCACAACAGAAATCAAGAATGGTTTCCACAAGGACTACTTTGCTGCTGCCAATGGATTGCAGAATAATAAGAAGGCACAATAAGTATAGTGTTTCCTATGGGTTTTTTTTCTAAGGAGAAAAAGAAGAAAAAAGACTGAATTACAAGCTTTAGCTTAAAACCTATTTGATTACATTTATCAGTTCTTTGTACCAGACACTTATTAACGTACTGCTATTTAGGTTTTAACAAAATGAGTAGAATTACTTGTCTTGTCAAAGATCACCATCAGAACAAAGAAAGCCAAGATCTTTCTCGTATGAAAAAGAAAACCTTTCTGATCTCTAATGCTGACACAAAAACGCCTTATGAAACACTTGATGGATAAATCCATCAATGCCTTCAAAAGGTTAGGACTCTGTTCAGACTAACACTTTCTGTGCATGTGAGAGGTCTTGAGGCAAGGCTTCACAGTGCACCCAGTAAATCCACCTGTGGCCAAGGCCAGGAAAATAAAGGAGGGGTGGGGGGAAAGGTGAGAATCATACCTTTTCCATCATCACACCCCTCTTCTCTTCTTCTCAGCAATTCCCCAAAGCATAGTCCCTCCCCGTGGACATCAGCAAGGTACCCTTTGATCCTGTGGGAGCCCTGGGAAAGGACATGTCAGAGGGCAGAGCCCAAGTGCACCATCCCATAGTTTTCAGGCAGTTGTGCACCATGCTCACTTGCTTTACACAAGGTGGAACCTGATTCAAATGCCAGGAAGTCTGGCAGGAGCTTTCAAGGGGCTGGGCTGGCAGCCCCTGGCACTGCCTGGAATAGTATTCTGAACACAGAACAAAACAAAGCATTTTGGATGTGCTAAATTAATAGGAGTTCTAGGTAAATGGATTTTGAAAGAAATAGGGTCTTAGCAACTTAAGGAAGATAAATCCAATGAGTGTAAATGTGTGTAAAGTTAATCCTATACAAACACTGCTAATTCAAAGCAAACTTTCATGCCCCTTATTAATAGACTGGAAGATGCAGAAAATTTGAGAATTGAGTTCAGCAATGAGCACAGCAGGTTATATAGGAATTTCTGTGGCAGGTGGAAGGGGAGGGGAAGCAAGGAGATAGCTGCTGTCTGTAGTTGTAAAGGTGTCTTTCTCCCAACAGTTTATCACCATCTTTGTTGCTTCAGTTCACTGCATTCACCCCCACTCAAATGGTTAGAAATGAAGAGCACTCAGGATTAACTTTATGGGTCTGCCCTCACCCTTTTCTCATTTTGTTCACTTAATTTCCTCTACTAAAAATAGACATGGACTTTTTTCCTCACAGTGAAGTAGTTCTGATCTCTTCCATTCTCATGTACAAAATTCTCTCTCGAGAAACAACTTTTGGAGTCACTCCAGCCCAGCAAGTCCCTTGGACTGAAGCAGTTCTGTAAAGGAAGCATGTCCTCTCACTCCTGTCACCTTGCAGAGGCCCAGAGCAGGAGGAGGACAAAACACACACCCAGCCAGCACAGACAGCCCAAGCAGCCACAGAGGGCTCAGATGTAGAAGAGGCTGTCCCAAATCCTGCTGTCCAATTTTTCTCCACCTGTAGAGGACACTTATCCCCTCCAGATACCCCCATTTAGATGGTCTGCCACTGGGGTCTCTTGGAGACTGCAGGCATAAAGGCAGGAGGAGCGTTTGTCCTAGGGAGCAGGATGGACACTCATAGCAGGCAGCCCCAGCAGGGGCAGCCAGAGACCCCCACAGCCTTGAGGGCTCATGGAGAGGAAGGAAAGGGACTGAGGAAGTGGTACAGTAGGGGAAAAAGAACAGATGGGGCTGTCCAGCAGAAGCAAAAGGAGAAAATGGCATGAAGAAGGGTGTCATGTGTCACAGTTCTGCTTGACTGTGTGCTTGAAAGTCCCATTGAATGCCATCTGTCTCCAGGCAGTTCCGACTCCGTTGCAATGCGGACAAAACTTTTCTGCCCCAGCAGAAAAGTGAAATTCCGTCCCATGGTGCTATAGCAGAAGCAATACCTCTTAGCAGCCTGGCTGCTGCACTACATCATCATGAACCAGATAACTAATACAACTGCAGTATTCAAAGGCTTTTACATCACCACACTGACTAACTAGAGCTGGGCTGCTGCACATTCACATTTGCTCCCCTCTTCATGAAGCTGGTCACGAAACCTCACTTAACTGAAAGTCAGTGTTTTGTTGTATTTAATACTCAGTAAGGGGGAAAAGCAGCAAGCCAAAAGAAAAAAAAAAACAACCCAAGAACCCTGCATTCACAAAGCCTGGGCACTGCATGCATATACTGTTTCTCACTTCTGGCTCTTCCAGAACCTTTATTTCTGACTGGTACTGTAAAAATCCCAAGATGTAAGAAATTAGCAGATTTGACTGAGGGTGTTTTAGACAGCCCAGCATAAAGGGAGAGCTTCAGAGCATTGTAGAAATCAGCTTGATACCAGAAGCCAGGGTAAAGGCAGAGGAATTTGAAAGAGCTGACAAGACAGTGAGGAAGGCAATGAGCTGGACTATTAATCTAAGGTAGGCAACAAAAGGGTTGTGTGGCCCAGCATGGATTTTAGGCCGAGTGGAGTCCATAATCTTTTGATGGCAAAGCATGCATTTGACTATCAAGGTGGAAAGCGTCAGCTGTGCTAAGTGTTAAAGTTTACTGCAGCAATCAAACCCATAGATATTATCTTTTGTTTTGTTGAAACCTCATTCGAAAGAAAAGGAAATAAATAAATGCCTTACTTGAAATTCAAAGGGCTGGGGAAAAAAAAAAAGAAAAAGAAAAAAAAAAAAAAAGGAAAAAACCAGAGATGGTCTCAGACCTTGCAGATCAGCCAGGAAGGCTGGAATCAGGTATGTTTAAAATTCTTCAGATATGTCTTAACATCTTCAAAATGCCGCAACTTGAAGAAAGAGAAGCATTGACTTTTTAAACTGATTTTCCTGTAATACATAACACTGTAAATAAACAAATTTTACTATCAGGCTGTCTCCACTCCTTCTTAAGGTATCACACTGGACTGTTAACTGGATGGGGAGGCTGCTTTTATTCTCCAGCATTTTCAGAAGCTTTTTAGGGCATTCACGTCAGATTCAAAAGCAATCTCCCTAACTTTATACAACACCTTCACTGGTGTTGGTATAAAGCTTCCATTTTATTTTTTTTTTGCCACTCTACCTATAAAAACTTGTGCTTTTGAACAAATGTAATATTGAAGTAACTTGTTTGTTCAAGGTTTGTACTTGCCCTTCAAGTCCTTGTTTGAGTACCAGATTGTTTTCAGTTAGAACATAGTAGAAAACAGGGGAGAGACAATGGAGAAATCAAAATCTAAAAAATAAACCTCAATATTTCAAAAAATAAAATCTCTTTCAGATGGAAAATACACAACAGCTCCCAGCTATTCTTAGAAACATTTCTATTTCCAGTTCATTACTCTCTTAGACATAGTTCTACTGCCTGCAGAAGCAGGACCTGTCTCTGTGTGCTCCAGCCAACTCCAGCACGCCTTTCCAAGAGCAGGGTCAGCTGCCCCAGGCCAGGTTAAACATGCACAGCTCCTCTGCCCATTTGCATCTGTCAGTTTTGGGTGGATCTTGGGTCTCAAGGAGACAAGAGCACTTGTTGGTTGTTGTAAAGTTGTTTATTGTATGAATGCATCAGCCTCGAAGGCAAAGAGTTCAGAGTATTAAAGTCAGTGCTCAAAGTGTTCTGGCATAAAGTCCTGTCGTTCTGAGCAACAGCAGCTCCCTTTTTTATTCTTTCTTGAGTGTTGGAGTATTTTCATCCCAATAAAGGGGAATTACATTAATAAATCAATCAGTTAAAAACACAATTCTAAAACCTTCTTTCTACACCAGTCTGAATTTAATTCTAAAGTACAAAAGTAGTGTCAGTTCTTAACCAAAGTCTACGTATAGAATATTATCTGTTTGCGCAAATAACTATCTGTTCTATCTGGAAATGCAAGCCATGTTTTCTTTGTGTGTAGAACTAAGTTAATTCTGTAAACTACTGAAATTTAAACTAGGCTTTAGGGCTTTTCACTAGCTAACACAGTCCCTTAAGGCATTTAAGATATATATTTACTTACTTAAAACTATAACTTACACTCTTACTTCATGCCTATGTGGTGTAACATATTTTAATTCCTTTCTCTCTCTGAGGGACTCAGACTTCTATTTCATGTTCCAACATCCAGCCACAGAGGACATCCTTTAATGGCTTTATGCAGCCTTGACATGTAGGCTGTAGCCCTTGCAATGGCCACTGCACTGGCACAGAGTGTGCAGGTAAACAAGCACTTGGCATCACCCCCTGAAAGACATGCAGCATAAATAGCAGGGGTTATAGTCAGTTTAATATTAAACCCTATTTAAAGCTTAAAATGCGTAAAGCAGTTGTCCTTAAACAGAACTTTTATATTTCCCATTTTTTTCTGGGTATTGATGCATAGTTTTTGCACCTCAGCACCTGCATCTTTGTTGTTCTGGCTCAGAAGTGTCAAGGAAGCTGAACAGATTGAAAATTGAGCTGTGTCCATTTGCACTGAAAGGATGAAAATAAAAGAAATATCTGGACTAAAAGCACATTAAAAAGCACAACGTGGTAAGGGCAAAGGAAAGCCACCAAGTTCAGCTACCTACCTTCCAAAAGGTAACTTAACCCAATTACACATTTGTTGCAGAAACCAAATAGACTTTAGACTTTCAGGAAGTTTAAGCTCAAATACATTTAATTGACCCAGTAGTGCAGGAAGTGGTATGAGATGGGCTGTTCATGGTCAAAAAACGTCATTTTTGTCCCAGATGCAGTCTCCAAACACTTTTACTGCCTACAGATGTAAAGACCATTAGTAAAGTCCAAAATTTTCACCTCAGGCAGTTCACAGGTTATCAAGCTGGAACAGTGAGCTTCTCAAAAGCTAAGGTGCTTCACATGGAGGGATAGATGAGTGCAGGGGTAGAAGGTATTTAAGCAGTGTAACATCCCTTTCTGCATTCCCATGCTCATCATTAAAACAGCCTTTTAGAGTTCAGACTTTTCCAATAAAACAGTTAAAACCAAGTGTAGGTGCATACAATATTGTGGCAATTTCTACTGAGTAAGAAACCCTGATTTTTTCTTTATCCATGTCCACTGAAGTGTTCAACATTCACCTTCCAAGCTTTATAGTTACAGGTTATGCAGAGATGCAACAATAAAATACAGAAATAAGACCAATGCACTCTGTAAGTTATCTAGCAAAGATCCTTGGATAAAAAGCATTCTTAACTTTTCACAGCTACAGGAGATACCAAGAGAGCCTTCTGCCAACACACATGAAAGGTGAGGAAATGTAGCAAAGCAAGTATTTCTACACATCTATTTCACAGTGCTGACAAAGCTTAAATTCTCAGCAGCTTGAACTTAAGAAAGCAATGAATCCATCAAAAACCTCATATACAAAAATAAAAAATCATCCACTACAGTTACAGCTTGAAAAAACAAACAGAAAAACACCCAAATGCCCTAAACCCAGAGAGAGACATCCCATCTTATCCTCTTCCTATTTCAAACCTTCCTTTTGAGCAGCAAACTGCTCGGAGACGCAGATGAGCGAGCCTAAATAGGCCGACAGCCATCCCCAAGGAGCAGACGCACTCCCCGAGGGTGCGAATTCTCAGCGCTGTTTCTGCACCTTTGCAGAATTCAGCGCACAGGAACAGCCCCACTGAGGGCAGCTCATCTCAATTCAGAGCTCTGCTTCACATCAAGCACCTTGATAGCCCAGGTTGCATCATCGTGTCTGGCCAGGTCACAAAAGCAAAACCACGGAATGTAGGTATTTATGTGGGAATTAGTGGAAGGCTCATCTTGGAATTTAGGAGCAAGAGCAACACAGCGCAAGGCTGTGCTTTACAAGCACAAGGCTTTACATTCACCAGTGTGAACTCTGGATCACAGTAAGCAGCAACAGGGCAGTTCAAGCCCTATCCTACTCCTACAGCCAGCCTCAGGCAGCAAAGGCCCCAGGTTTAGGACCTGGCACACCCAGGCAAATAGGATAGCGATAGGATGAGATTATTCAGGCTGGTATCTTAAAGCCTGTTTTGGTTAATGGCATTGCTGGGGCCATCAGAGTATGCCACCACACTGGTGGGACCAGAGCATTTCAAAAACTCTGTAGCCAAGATGCAAAAGTAGCTTTACCAGACTCAAGCACAGCTGCTCACAGAGGTTACAGCTTCATCTTCCCAAAGTCACTGCTGCTTCAGCTGAGTGCTTTGAGAGCCTAGAATCAAACAGCAGCTGTAAGGAGACTGAAGAGTAGCTGGAGGACACAGCACAGCCAGGTCACTAGGGACAGCCCTCAAAGAAGCAAGCACAAGCCAGTGGATGTGAAATCAGCATTTCAGCCCTTCACATTAAGAACAGGAGGGGGTAGACCAGTAGAGCTGAACCTTTGGAAAGGGCAAGGTTGAAGAGGTCTTTTCTTTTAAACCACCCCAGGAAGAAAGCACCAAATGCCTCTTGATGTGGATGAACAAACTTCAGCTCATGCCAACCCTAGTCAGGACTACTTAAGATAAAGGAATACACATAAAATTGTAAAGCAATGACAACAGCCTCTTCTTGCTGTTCTCTGTACTGGTGCTGCCCTGTGTGACCTTCTCAAGCAGAAACAGCATCAGCCCTATTTAATTTATAAAACAAACCCTGTCAGGGTTTGGGCTTTTGTTATGAAGGTACACTTTGTGCAGGGGAGGGTTCCCTCAACTCTACCCCATACAGCAATCTGAGGTTGGTTCTATAAGTTAAGGAGATAAAAACCAAAGCCCGGAAACCTGCCATGTTCCCACAAATCCATTAAGGTATTTGAGCACTAATGCTGTTTTTGCAAGAACACTTGTGAAGAGCAACTTTATTCTAGGGAACTCCATCACACAGTCACACAGAGGACAATACTAAATAGCATGGGTTATCTGCTGTTTACTTTCTAGAGACCTGTGATGCTATTTTGTCTAATCCTAGCATTGCATTCTGAGCTCTCTGTGGAGCCAAAAGTCACTGGCTGCAAAAATAATTTCTCCTGCTTCACTTGCCATTTTTCTGTTCAGTTCTCAAAATTTCTTGCCCTCTGCAGTCCCCAGCTTGCTGTCAAGCATCTGGCCAATAGATCCCTCTCTGCTTTCAGCTCCAGAATTGAGCGGCAATGGTGTCAAGCCAGCAGCTGCCACAATTAAGTGCACACAGGAGAGGCTACACCTAACAGATCCTGTGCAAGGTACACAGGACTCTAGAGTACCTTTCCAGACACTCACAGTGCATCAAGAAAAGAGTGAAATTGTTATTCTATGGAAACATCTTTTTACTTTGAACCAATTGTCAAGTGCTTTTACACTAGATAAAGGTGCTAGCAGAACAGTAAGGCAATATCCACATCAATTTAATGGCTATATAATTATCTTTAGTTCACTTCTTTAATTTCTTTGATATATAATAGACCAAATATTGCAAATTTTCAGGAAAATTTATTATCAACTGGACCACTTAGCAATACATATTCTTTTTAGGCAAAACAAGGCTCAACATAATGCTTTTTTTTCTTTTCATTTAAATAGATCCATTACATCCATTACAGAACCATCTTTTTACTGCACACAAAGTGCTCAAATGTCATGAGCAATAGTTAATTTGGAGTATGCTAGTCAGAAGGAACAATGAACACATCTTCTGCCTTCTTCACTGGGTGTTCATACTGCAGGGAAGAACAAAAAAAAAAAGGTAAGAGAAAACATTTCAAAAATTATACAAACATTGAAACAGTACAGGATAAGAAATTGCAAAGATTCTGAAAGCACATTTAGATTCAGCTCTTAATTCTCAAGCACCTACCCTGGAACAAGTGCTGCAGGATGAGCAGCTCCCGCGACACAAGTGCTCCTTTCTCAGCCCTGCTCCCCTTTAATTATCCTTATTCAGGAGCACCTGTGTCCCTCAGCAACTCAATGCTCATAGTGGAAACTTTTCCCTTTGGAAAGGCCCAGGATTCCAACTTAAGTGCTAAAATATACAAGCATCTTTTCTAAAATCTCAGGCCCGGTCCACTGTGGTGACCACAGGCATGGTTGTTCCTTCAACACAGAGCTTTCTCAGCTCTGTGAAGTGAGGCACGTGGCATCCTTCACATGGCAGTAAATCCATCAGTCTTATTGCAGAAATGCTAAACTCTCAAAGCCATCAGAGGTGCACATAGACCTGGAACAGCAGCAGTAGCAAAAATACACCTCTGTGTGATGGGGTGAACCAGACGGAAACTAAACACTGTATCAAAATTAGCAAAGTATTCATCTTAATCTACAAATTAAAACACGGGTATAAAATAGTGATTAGACTCTAGAGAGCTTAAGAGCTTTGACAGAATATTTAACCAGGATGTAAATTAAATAAAAAAAGTTTTTTAAAAAAATTCAAACTTGAATACGTCAAGGCTAGAAGTTCCCAGACCTAAAGAGCAGATGAGAGAAAGCATGCAAGGTGTTAGATTGCAGAGCCCTTAGCCACAGGGTGTCACGGACACACAGCTCCAAGAGCAAATGAATTCAGGGTCACCAGCTACACAGAAACTGCCCCAGACTGCAAACCCAGAAGAAACATCACTACCTGATGGCCTTTGTATTTATCTTCTCCCCTAGGCAAGTACTGTTTGACCTCTTTCCCTTGTCAAACATTTCTTTCTCAATGCTTTCCATGCATCAGGAGCAGAGGTCCCACAAAGAACCAGCCCCACAAAACAGCCAACCAAAGGCTTCCCCTCCCAGGACTTCAGGTTTCATTTTTTCACTTCCACCACCAATCAAGTCAGGCCAGAGCTCAGCCCCCCACCCACAGGGAGCTGCTTTTGTATCACACATACCACTGTATTCTGGACAGCATCGGCAAAACTCTTGGCTGTTTCACCCAGGGCAGAGTCAACAGATTCAATTCTGAAAGAAAAGTGATCTTAGCTGGATTTTTATGGAGCACTTACCAGTGAAGCTTGAACAGAGATATTTACCACCAAATAAACCCAAGAATGGCAGGGTTTTGCTCAGCATTTATGCCAACAGTGCCTCTTATGCAGGAAATGATCACCCCCTTCCACCTCCTCTGACCCCTAGACATGGTGATGTCAAGAGAGTGCATTGCATGTTGTTCCAGACCCTGGTACAGCTGTCCTGAGCAAGGTTCCTCTCCTGCACAACTTCTCATTGAGGCTTCCCTTGTTACATTCTAATTCCAATAAAAAACCCTCACAAGGCTGTGTAGGCTCAATCAGTGGACACCAAATGAATATGCCATACTAGGTTTAGAATACTTTCCCATCTATCAGTGAGGGTACCACCAGCCTAACCAGTGCACCATCAGAGCACTTGTGAGTATGCAGAACAGCTGGCAGGGACATACCTTTGCTTTTGCTGGTTGCAGAAAGTATTCAGTTTGAGCAGCTGTTCATTCCAGAAATCCTAAAAAGACCCCCCCCCAAAGAAAGCCCCTGTTACCTGGGAAGGAGCAGCTTTTTGGGCTGTGACACAAGAAGCTGTACGCACCAGTGCATCCTTCTCCATGGCTGCCAGAATTTGAGTTTCTTTCTCAAGGTTAGCAAGCTCTTCAACAACAATCTTCTGGAAGGTTTCAAATTTACTCAGCCTAGTGATGGAGAGCAGAAGCAATTTTGCCACTTCAAATTTGCAGTCACACAAGCTGGCCAACAACCCCTTCAGCACCAAACCTACTTTGAGGCAGAAGAAAATTTCACTGCTGAACTACATGGGGCAAATTTGTTCTCAGATATGTCACAGAGCAAGTGAATAGCTGCACTAAAGTCACACTGCAGATGAATATTGCCCAATAGCCTGTCCCAAATAGCAGCCAGTAACAGAGGACTGGGACAGAGCATACAAATGAAGTCCCAGTGCATGCTCTCCCAGCCTCCAAGGAGCTCAGCAGAGATTTCCCATGCTGAAGACCACCTTAAGGACCCTTCCAACCCAAACCATTCTATGATTCTATCTTGACACAGCCTCTGTGGATTTTCCTGCCATGGATTTGATATGTACAAACAGTTGCCACAAGATGCCAGCAATTTCTAAACCTTAAGAAAGGTTGTGATTGCAACATCCTTATTGACTTGGGTTTGCCACCATTCTGAGCTACAATGAAGTAGGAAAAATTTGGCACAGCCCTGCATTCACTATCCTGTGGCCCTGGTTAGAGCCAAGTTACTTGGCAACCAAACATTGAAGCATCTCACTGCCATCTACCTCTTATCTTCTACCAAAAACATCCCATTTTTTTCTTTTGGAACTCAAACTTCTCCACGTACCTTAATGACAGCAAATTATACTCATAGAGGTCCCATTAATACCAGGGATTTTTCACTTTAAAGACTATTATTTCATACTACATTTGATCTAAATTCTAGAAAGCAAATGCATGATTTCAGATACAGAGATACAGATACAGAGGCCTAATAGACTTACAACTACAATATAAGATACAAGTGTCTCACACCAAATCCATAAATATTATAACTTATTTTTTATCTAGCTCCTATCTAAGAAATTCAGGATCTGAAATCCCTTTTCTTCTCCTCCTCCACTTCATTAAGAAAGTCACACCCTGGCTTCTTTCTTAGAAGATTTAGAAAGAGAAGCTACTAAGTCGGTGACAACCAGAAGACAGTCCAAGGACTGCTCCATCAACTGTTTGTAACTCAAGTTTGCTTTGCATAAATTAACACATCCTCTCCTCCTACAGGAAAATTAGGATCAATCTAAGGACTAAACTAAGGACTTATACTTCTGAAGCTCTTCTTGCATAAAAGAAAAAAAAAAAACCACACACAAAAGGTGTTTTGCTGTGCAAACCATAAGCACAATAACCAGCTGTCAGACTGGCTTTCCCCATCAACCAAAACTGACACAGAATTGAAGCTGTTTTCAGCCAGCAGCAGACCACTTACCTGCACTTATGTATCTGGTTCAGCAGGGCAGACAAGTTCTTCTCTGAGGATCTCAAGGCATCCTGTGTGTTGATCTCAATCCTTTTGTACCGGGACTAGCCATGGGATGCACAGTTAGGGATAGGCAATGGCACAAGGCAAAACCTAGAAGTCTAGCTTGCAAAAACCTTTCCCTAGAAAACAAGTTCCTCTGCAGAATGCCATTCATCTTGGCAGAAACCATCTTAAATCAAATTTAATCTGCAGTAAGATGAGACACATCAGTGCTGCAGATATGGTCTGATTTAATTCAGTCACAGTAGTTACACCAACAAGCCTCATGCAACTTCAGGGAAGTGTTGCATTAGGAAAAACCTAATTAAAATTTCCTTTATGCCTTGCCTGTAACACTTCTCAGAATAGACAAGTTCTGTAGAATGCTTCTAAGAGCTCCAGACTAACAGATACTGCTGCCAAAGCCCTACTCCTCAACACAGACTAAAGATGGGATATTTGCACCAACTCTCCCTGAGATAAAAAGGTAATTTCACATTGATCAATTGCCACATGTGCTGAAAGAGCTCACATTACCCAGAAAAGTTTCTTCAGGTGGCCAATAAAGCTTTCAAAGGCAAAAACCACTCCTGAATCACTCAATTCTTCGTGAAGCAGCTTTGGAAAAAACACATCATCTACGCTATCATCCATTTCCTGACCTAGGAGGAAGCACATGCCCAAGTTAACATCATGCTGGAAGATTTCCTGGAATATAAACCTTCCTGGTACTGAAGGGATTGTCATTCATGTGAGCAAAAAAGTCTGGAATTTGGGCCTTGTTCTTGTAGAGCTCACAAGCAAGAGGGAAACTGGCTGAAAAATCCCCAGAGAAACACTTTGAGAACCGTAGGGAAGGATAGGCACAATAGATCAACACAAAGAGCTACTTACAGATACTGAGGCAAATACACATAATAAAGGTGGAAAATAGTCAGGCCACCGCTGTTTTCTACTTATGCATTGCAGGGAAAGCCTGATCCTCTTGTGCTCAGAGTTCACAGTATTTTGCGGTTACTTTATCCATTACCTGCATGCTTTCTATTCAGCTCCTGTGTTTGATGGTTTTCTAACAGCTCTGGAAAAATCACTATTCAGATAGACTAGAAAGTGTGGGGATGTCATGGAGCAGCTGACCAAGTGGAACCCAAGTTTCCTTATTCACACACCTACATGCACATGATCCACTGTCATTGGCAGTGCTGCAATATACCTCCTGCTAATTTTGACTTTTGGATTTTGGAAAAGTTGGCCTCCCTACAAATACTTCTCTTCAGGCTTCCATTTGACTATGATTTCTACCACAAGAAAAAAAAAGCTGAAAGCATTTAAGCACTTGACCTTAGTTACCAACCAGATTTTACCTTTCTGGATCTCCCCATCCTCTTCTACTGAATCAGGAATTTTCTTTGGTGTATGGTTAATCTCAGAGGGCAAGTGATTTTTCTCCAAACTAGAAAATTTAGGCTTTTTTATGATAGTGCCACTCAATATATCTAGAAAGAGAATAGAAGACGTTTCAAAAGAAATCTGTTCTTTTGCACGAGGTACATGACAGTGCCTGCTCAAGGAGAAACCACCACTGGAATTACCAGTGCTTCAGAAAAGGAGGCAGCCTCATTTTATGGTCTGGCATCACACAGGACAGGATAAGACTTCACATGCAAGCATCTTCCCTCCCAAAAGCAGGGAACTGGCCTGCCCAGTGTTTTACAGGTATTTGGAAAGCTTCCATGTCTCCACCTTAAAGATGATTTCCTTTCTTGGCCTGCTATTTGAACCATCAAAACCCTCTGGTGTCCAGCTTCTTCCCATTCCCTTCTCCAAGTTCCAACCCAAGTTCTCAAACTGCTTATAAAGGAAATTTTTAAGAAAATTGAATCAACCCAAATCAAAGCTGAAGCCTCTGCTTTGGGGAAGATTTGCTAAAAACCAAAGAAACGAATGAGAACCCCATCCTTTTGTCTCACTGTGCACTTTTTCTGAACTCAGCAAGTTGTCTGTTTGACAAATCATCTCCCTGGAGTCTCCATAGGGCAGAATGGAAGGTAGTGGGGCCCAGAACAAGGGGGACAGTCACGCCAAGAGAAGCACCCTGGAGTAGATTTAGGGTTCACAGAGAGTTCAAATGCAGTCAGAGATCACACCTGAAATTTCTGAGTATAACCCTGCTTGTGCCTTTTCATGACAACAACTCTCAAGTGTAATGCTGTACAGCAAACAGTGATAAAAATGAAGTCCCCAGTGCCTGTGTTCCCAGAATTAAACAGATGTGTCATTGCAGTGAAGGTGTATTCAGAAAATGCTGGACAGGTAAAAGATATACTGAGAACACAAAGCCAGCTCATGAGAAAAGGGATGCTTTTGTCCAAGATCAAAACTTCAGTCACTCACTTCATAGTAACAACAGTAACTCAGACTCCTACAACTACATCAGCACTGAGAATTGTTAGGATGAAAACAATCCCCAATTGCTGCTTGACTTGCTTGAAGTTCAACCACAAAAAGACTGTGCTGCACTTCTGAGCTAGATTATGAAGTTCAGCTTCATTTAAAAAAAGATCCTGAAGCTCCACTTACCTATTAAAAAAGCTACAGCAGTAATAAGCATTACCCAAGTCCCCATTTAACAAATACTTATAGCAATGGTTTACATCTATGTTCTTAGGTATAAAGAAAATCAACAACTTGAAGGGATGCAACTGAAGTTGCAGTCCACTTTTGAAACATTAAAAATGAACTTTTTTGTGTCTCTCGGGTCATTAGCTTGTAAATTCCTACTGACAAGTCCTCCTTTAATCAAGGGCAGCTTTAAGAGTTAGCATTAATTCAGGAATATATATAAAAGCATCTCACCAGAGTCTGCCATGATACACAAAACAGAGAAATAGAATTTAGAAAAAAAACCATAATCTCAAAACAGTCAGTGTTTATTTGTCTTGGAAAGAAAGTAACAGCTTTGGCACCACCTCTTTCTGCTTTTAACCAACTCTGCCATGATATCAAGAATGACAAACCTGAGTCCTTCCGCTTGGTACTTTCTTCCTCTCTTGATATTTTGCCTGGTGTACCATGAAACTTCTAAGTAGAGAAAGAAAACAAAATAAGACAGTACCCACCCTGCAGACAAGCTGCCAGGGACTTGTCTTGTTACAGGAAGCAAAGGGACATGACACAGTGGTTTCAGGTCGAGGCAGCCTGACAGCAGGCTGGAAGGAGAATAAGCGCTGCCTCTGCACCTGTGTGGCCTTCTCCACGTCACTGGGAGAGCTCCTGGTAGACACACTCAGTAGCAGCGGACTCCCTGCAATCTCCTCTGAGAGTGATTCATCTGTGTGAGAAATTGATAAATGGCACAGGCAATAGGGTTTGAATACTGTATGGATTGGAAATACCAACTTAATGATACAGAAAAAAACCCCCAAGCCCTCTACCCTCTCCTTATCTCTTCACACAGGGATGAGGTGCTGGCTCAGACTCGGTCCAAAGGCTGTTTTCTTGGTGGTTGTTGGTTAAATTCATTCTTTTACCTCTCAATAGCACCAGATTATCTTCTCCTTGTGTGACACTACCTACACAGACAGCATCTATCCCTCATAGCCATTACAAAGAAATGTCACAAGGCAAATACTTATGGAAAAAAATGTGAAGGAAAAGCCACAAAATCAAAAAGAAAAACCCACAACTAAAAAAACTCATCCAAAAGGTACAGGCCCACACATATCAAAACTCTTCTAATGCACTGAAGACAATTTAAATAAAAATACCAGCAAGATCCACCGTGGGGAAATCATCTCCCTTGAAGCTAAATGTGCTTTTTTCCCTTGGCATCTCCTTTTGAGCTCTTTGCTTTGATACTCCCTCCTAAAACAAAATAACGTCTAACCATTATTTAAACATTACTATAGAAGTAGGGGTTGAGGTGGTGTTTTGGAGGGAGAGTTTTGGATGATTGGTTTGTTGTTTAAATACACTAAGAGTAGATATGTACTTAAAATGTGTCTAACATACTGATGGCTCTATCCTGCACTGAAGGAGACCAGTATCCTGAAGTTCAATGCATGCAAGAATTTAGGCACTGGAGATGCACATTTGTTGATGTTTTCATAAGCAGAATAGAAGCATTGTAGTCAAGAAAGAAAAGTTTTCCAGGGGAAAATAAAAGATTTTAGTGTGACTACTAGTTCTGGAGATTTTTTTCCCCAGACTTTCTGTATTTAAAATATACATAAATACATATATACACACACATATATATATTTGATATGCAGCATTTAACAATTGTTTTCTATGAAGTCTACCATGTTTTCCTACATCTCCTCTATTAGACCAATAGAGTCTCAATAGCACTTGGCAGACAAATCTCTCCATCAGAACATTTGAGAATTAATATCAGTTTATTTAATTCTGACTCATTGGTACACATTTTGCATCCATAATATTTTTAAATCTGAGGCACTAAAGCATAACACCTTACCTTCTTTGACTCATAGTCGCTGCCACTACTTGCAGAAGGTACTGGAAGCACTGCAAGAAGAAAATCTTCCCTGGTTACTGGCAATGTAAATTGGGTACTTTACCCAGTTAACCAAGTTAGCCACAATACAAACCTTTTCAGTTTTGGTTTTCTAAACATTTACAAGATAAAACTTCACAACACTTCCATTAGATTTAAAAAAATAAAAGCCTTTCTAACAAAGACAGATGCAACGATGCTAATACATCGTGATACACAACTCACTGCATCCAGAGCAGCCAAAGAAATAAAAAAAAATAAAAGACAGGCTCAGCATCTCATCTGACAGTCCCCAGGTCTCAGGCAAGACATGTGGGCTGACACTGGAGTGAGAACAACTGCCCTGAAAACCCAGTATAAAGAATCATTTGAAGCTCAACTTTATTTTGCTTTTTAGTCTGTGCAGAATCCGACAGCTACCTGAGCAAGCATCATTTCTCCATGAGTAGGAGAGAAACATTCCAGCAGATTCAGGACAATTTGGTTTCCTTTTGGTGGTCACAGCAGCAGACAGCCCTGGAGCACTGCTGCAGGGGAGGTCTGCTGCTGGTCAGGCCCAAGCAGAGAATACTATCAGAGACAGCCACATCTGACATTCAGAGGACAGTTGGCTTATTACTGCATAAACAAGGAAGCAGAATGCCCTGGTCTGAAAACTGTGAGGCTTTTCAAGGTTTACTTGGCAAGTCAGTGATGTTTCTGGGGAGATGAGGAGGGGAAAGTTGCAGGGAGAAGGTGTGATTTCTTCAGAGAGATCTTCCTCCCACTACAGTCAAAAGCACCAGCACAGCCATCAGCCCAGGACCCCTGGACTCTTCAGCATCATCACACAGAGGGCTGCACCCAACACTGTTTAGGTGCCAAATTTCCACCTGGACATGTGAACCTTAATTTGGGAAGGAGACATGAGCCTAGTTCAGGCACAAGGGTGTGCAATCTCCTCCATGGGGTACTCCTTGCTGCTGGCCTCAAACCTGCTCTCTGCCTCTCAGGAGAGCCAGGATTTGGACAAATTCTCCTTTTTCAAACCATCATCAGCACTTACTTTTCTGCAGTGCACTACATCATGCATAGCTAAGTCAGTAGGGGACTGAGCTTACCTTTTAATTTACTTCTCACCCTGGGTCTTTTTCGGGTATAGTCAACAGATTTTGGTGCCGACTGTATCTGAGAGTCAAGGATCCAGCTTTTTTCACTCTGACCAGGGCTTGTATTCTCATTGTTACTTTCAGAGAAAAGATGTTTCCTGTAACTGGACTAAAGACACAAGCCCTGTTCACTCAGGAGCCCCTCAGCTATTCAATTTCAGCTGTTACCAAGTTATCCCATTTCTTCCTCCCCACAGCACAGCATGTAAAGCTGTGAAATCTGCCAAAACAGCCACAGCCAGCTGTTGAAACATCTGTATAAAATCACCAAGAAGCAGATGCTTGCCTTTTGCCAGAATGGGATTTTAGAGTACCCTCCTTCCTTGTCCCTCCCTCTCTCCTGTGCCTAAAATAAGAGCACTCTTGCAAGAAAGAAAACCTCAGCATGTCTGAGCTGCATCCAGCAGCACATCGAGGGGAACAGGTAACACAGACAATTCACTACCTGGTCTGGCAGTGATGGTGCATCCTGAGCAAAATGACAGACAGTATTTAGAGGCTACCAGAATCACATTCCTCCATCTCTGCACTGGGTAGGCCTTAAAACTTCAGCTTCTTTATGGGCACAATGGATTTGTACAGGTAAAAAGACACAGCATTCAAACAGGCAACAGTCAAAGGCTCCAGGGATGCAAGAGCACAGACAACCTACCTGCCTTCTCTCAAGACTCTGTGATTCCTTGCTCTTGCTTCTTGTTTCATAAGTCCTGCCAAGTAACACAAAGACCCAAGTCAGAGTAGCAAACACAGTAATAACATACCACGGCACTGCTGAATGGGCACAGACAAATAGAAGTGCCAGGAGGCCCCTTAAGGGTTCAGCAGAACAACCAAACTGTTAAAGACCATACAGTAGCCAAATTTTTCTTTGCCTGGATTTTGAAAGTAGCACTTCAGGGATTTAGAAATAAGCACTATGTGAAATAAAAATTAATCTGCATACATAGAGGTGGCAAGTCCCTGGAAGGCTGTTATGACTGGAAGGCAGCCAAAGCAAGGCAGGGAGTTTAAGCATTTTTCAAAAATTAAATCGGTAATTTTAGCATATGGTCAGAAAAGGATGATGCTTGAGAGTTAAAATCTTTTATTGTCAGAGTTGACAGGACTCACTATTCTCTCCAGTAACTTTTATATTCTCAGGTAGTAATTTAAATATTGGTACCAATAACATCCACAGACAGTGTGGTAGCTAAGCAAGGAACGACTGTATTAGAAAAATCACACAGCCTTTTGGATCCTAACTTAAAAGCTTAACCAAAGCCATGGACTCTTATTCACATAGAAAAAGGTTCAAAAACACTGAATGTATAATCTTGTACCTCTGACTTTGTGAAGAAATTTTCTGGGCAAGAATCTTTCCTTTGGCTTTAGAAACCTGAAAGCAGAGAGTTGTCTTAGAGTCCATTTGCCCTATAAAATACTCAACATATTGCAAATATATCAAAATTCATAAGGAAAATGGATTACAAGTCCTGCTTGGAAATTCCACTTTTGAATGGAATGGGATTTGTTGCTTGAAACAGTTCCATAAATTGTAACAGACAAACATTTGAGCCTTAAACAGAGTTCCTTTATCTTCTCCTTGGTTTATGAATAATGCTCATTTTAAGCACCAACATCCAGCACTGCAAGCATGGTGCAGGGCCCCTGGACAGCCCTGGGACTGGTGCCATGGAGCAGGGATTTATGCTGACACCCAGCGGCAATAGCAAGGATAAAGCCATGTCCAGTTCATAACACAGAGAAATTTGGAGTATTCTATTCAGCACCCACTGTCTCACAATTAGCAGGCACCAGTGATAGGCCTCACATCAGGGAAGAGGCTGAAAGCCAAAAGGTTTGTCCAGCACAGTCATCTTGATGGAAGCCATAGGAGCAAGTTGACAGCCTCCCAGGAAAGCCCACACCGGGCAAAGTTTCAAAGCAGTCAAAGTGAGTAATTTTTATTCCTTTTTCTTTTTTTTTTGAGAGGCTTCAAATACAAGTCAAGCAGAATTTCCAACAAAAGTTTCTTGGGGTGGATTTCAATCTTTTCTGTTTAGCCTAGGAGGACAAAGTGGATGCTCAGCAGTCTGATTTTGATATTCAGTAAAACACAGAGGCTGGCCTTCAGTCACACAGACATCACATGGCCTCACTGAAGCAGCAGCTCAAATGTGTGTTGGTGTTATCCACGCGTTACCAACCACAAAATTCATGCAGTGATGAACATTCTTACCACTCAAAAAAAAATTTTCTATTTCCACATACAGAGAAAACAAAACCAAAAAATCTTAGATTCCCTGTCATCTGTCTTGCTATAACAGTGTGTCCATCCTTACAGCATTTCTGCAGCAAATTATGTCCCCTGCTCCAAGTTACTATTCCATTAGGTGCTGAGCTTCTGTCTCAACTTTACCTTTTCATGACTTGAGGAGTCTGAGTTCTCAAAGTCATAGACTTCCTTCCTGCAAGACAACATAAATACGGCATGCAATAGTGAAGAATCACCCTACAGAATTTCATTAAGAATAGGGGAGTGATAATGTGTTTTTTTTCTGAGCCCCCTCTGCTCAGATAATTTATATGCCTAAAAATACTGTTTTCTAAGCTTCTAAAAAAACACTCCTTTTCATCTTTGTCTCATTACTGTCTTGATTCTCATTCTTTTATAGTAATAACTAAGAAATAGTCAAAATTAACAGAGGAATTAACCTATCCCTGCTTCTGTAGAGGACATTTTGTTCTCACGTCCCCCATAATAGTACATGGTAGGAAGAAGTAATGACTGGAAATATACTATCAGAAGCATTTTAAAAATCCCATTTAATTCCCTTTTGAAAATTCTAGTATTTAATATTTGTTCTCTAATCTCTTCTCTGTGTACATCTAGATTTTGTTTCCATATCTTCCAATACTTAACCGCACATTTATGGCTTTCTCCAAATCTATTTCCAAAAAATCCTACAACAATTGTTCGACATACAGTACATCACCTTTTTGCTAGTAAAAGAATGGGAAGACTGAGAAGAACTGAGATCTTGGCCAAAGCTTCCCGCAAGAAGGAAAAGCTCATTTCCAGAGGAAACACTAGAGGGAGCAGAACGACCAAGCTAGGAAGTTTCCACCCTTAACTCCTACACTGCTCTTCGGTATGTTTTAAAGCAATTTGATGCAGCAAATACAAACCAAAAAAACTTCATGAAGCCCTACATCAAGTTTTCCTATTCTTACCTACAGTCAGTCAAAAAAATGGTCTAAGCACTTGGGGGTTGGGGAGGTTTTTTTGAGCTAAGAGACAGTAGGCTGAAGCAGGACCCCCACAGAAGCCCCAGAGCAGCAGCAGAGATCCTCACACAGTTCATTTGCCCTCCTGCCCAGCAGCAGGCATTGACTCCAACACAACGCTTGGCAGAGCTCAACAAGGCAGACTTTCAGTGCCACAGGCTGCATGCAGCCCCCAAACCCTCGAGTGCTTCTTCCTGCAGTGCCCCCAGCTTTAAACACAGACAGACAGATGTGTGGGTGGGAGGGAAGGGGACAAGCTGAGAAAGAAGCCATCCTGAAACCCTAGGACACATGATGCCAAGGAACTGGGACAATATTGGAGAAAAGCTAAATATTTGTGAATTGCTGGTGCTCAGAACTCAACTGACTGGAGGATTATGGTTGAGCAAGGAAAAAGCCAACAACATGCCATAACATGGTATCTCAGGTGTAGAGGGCATTTTTGGCAGACTAGGGTTACCTTCTGAGATCATCATCATTTTGGGGACCCAAAGGGTCTTCCAGAGACAAGTTATGACCTTTCATAGCCTCATAATTGTTTTACTGCCTGTTCTAGGTACAATTAGGCCACCCCCCATGTGGACACCCCTTCCTGCCTGAGTATCAAAAGAGGTCTAAAATGACTTGGTACACCAGTTCCTGACGGGCACTGGGCTTGCGTGTCATACCTGCCTTCAGCCCTCTTCTTGGCCAAACTGGTTTTCCTGTTCCTCCATTTGCTGGTGTCATCCTTTGGAAAAGAAGAGAATTGCAGGAACTAAAACAACAATACTCAAAGTAATGTTCTCATTCTAAAGCCTGCTAAAAGCAGAGGAAAAGTGTGCCAGGAAACTTCCTTCCTCCCTCTACAACAATTTTTCAGGTGCAACTGTTGCCTGCAATACTTTCCTACCACAAAGTATGGGACTCAGAGCTGAACTTGGGGAGTGTCAAGAGAAGTATTTTATGAAATAAAACTCTTGGGGGGAGAGAAGTAGTTCAAAAGCTTTGAATTCACTGTACAGTGAGCAAGTGCTACAAAACAACTGAACAGACAGCAGAAAAGATTTAAAAAAAAAAAATCAAATCTGAAAATGTAAACCCAAGAACTAAGTCTAAGATATGATTTCTTATATAAGTACCTAATCTCAAAAATATTACTTTAGGAACTTAATTTTGCTCATATAGTGCATTGGTTTATTTTAAGTACATGGACACACCAATAGAACTTTCCCAGTGCAACTACAGAGGACTCTCAGTTACTTGGTAATTTACCCAGTTTGCAAGTTCCTACATGGGACAGTCATTAGAGCCCAGATACTAAACTGAATAAACACATCTGCAGCCTTCCAAGGCTTACGTCCATTCAGGAACCAAACATTCCCTCTTGAGGAGAGTGCCCAAGTCAAGTGATGTGCAAGTATGTCCCACACACCTAGACACATTGCTTTGGGACTGAATAGCTGCTGAATAAACTTTAATGAGCTTGAATCACTTGTCTGGGCCTCTCTAGAATGAGGTTGTTGCCTCTGCAGCTCACTCTTGGTGCTAAGTGGCACAGCACATCAGGTGTGACACTGTGGGCTCAGGACACCTCTCAATGGCATGAGTAGGTCAACCCATCCCAGCTTTCTTCTGCAACTCCACCAGAATGTCTCTTCCCTATCCCTCTCCACTCAAGGGGGACCCCCAAGGCACACATACCTTTAGTATCAACTCATCCATAGGTTCTTCTGCTTGGGGCTTCTCACTGGGGATAAGAGGACACGTGAGGGAGCTGTTCATCTAAAGACCAAAACTTCTGTGAAGTATTAAGGTGGGGGGGAGAAACCCCAAAAGTTGCATCAATTAGCACCAAAGCAGTAGTTTAATGTGTAAGGAAGAAAGGTAGTCAATAGCTCTACAGAAGTCCAGTTCCTTAACTACAAGAAATTCTGTCTTGCAAAGGTCTGGGAAAAGAAGGTGCATTCAAGCCAAGGTGAATTCAAATTCACATCTTTCACAAAGTCAAGGTCTCCATTAAGAACAATCTCACGTTTGGCAAGCTCAGGTTTCACAGCTGAAGTTTAACTCTCTGTAAATCAGCTGTGGGCTCACCTTGCATTTGGACTAAATCCATGATGAGAAAAAAAATCAAAGCAGCTGCCAACCTAGTAACCAAATATCACTGTTCAGCACCTCCAAAGGGATGTAACTTCAGGCAAACAGCCTTCATGTCCAGATGGCAAAACAGAATTTTCAATATAATAATTGATGGAATAACCTCAAAATCACATGCATTAAAACCTCAAGGGGAAAAAAACAAAACCCTAACAGACACCCCAAAAAACCCATACAAAACTCACTTTGCAACTTTCTGTCAGTGAGACACTCACCTAGGCTTAGCTTTCTTCCCTGGAGATGGAGTTTTGGAGTTTTTTTCTGAAGAAGGCAAGGAAAATATAGTTTTACCATCTGGAGCTACTATGAAACTATCTACTTTTGCTGTAAGACCCACAAAGGCAGAGCCTTCAGCATGTCACCTGGGTAACATTTAACTGGGTCAGACTTAAGGTACTGAAGGGAGCCATGCCTGACCTTGGTTAGCATCCTCCAGGTCAGTCTGCTGGCCCACTGTAACCATGGCTACACCAGAGTTGACCATTTTCTGTTTGGAGACATGAGACCATGAACAAAACATGCATGTGATCAATAAAAAGTGGGTTTTTTTTAGAAACAGATTTTTTTAAGAGGTAGCCTGTGGAAAGAGCTGCATGGCAGGTTCACCATTGTCCGCACGTAAAAACCTTTTAAGCTGTGTATAAGTAATTCTCTGGGTTTATTGCTAAGAACATCCCACTGTCCTCTTATAAGAGAAAGTAATTTTTTTAGTATTATTATTTTTTAAAGCAATTTCACCAAAATTGCAGCTCTGGAGACAAGAATTTGAATGAATAATGAATAGATACAAAGCAGTTTTCTTTGAAAGAAGGTTTTAGTCACACATGTGAAAAAAGCAGACTGGAGGAAGGGAAAAGTGGCACAAGGACAGTTCCATCATACACCAAATACTTACTGCTACATTGCTTGTAAACTGCTGTCTGTGCTGAGAGGTTAAGTTGCCTTTTTGAGTCTCTGCGTTCTCAGAGTTAGAAGGATTGTTCTTCCTCTGTGCATTAGAGGGCACAGGTATTTCTGCACAACAACAGCTGGGGTGAGAATGTTATCACAGTAATGGAACACACTCACTACCCCTTCTTTCCATTCCCACACATGCATAAATTGCAGCAGTACAACCTTCTAGGCATATCTCAAGCTCACATTTAACAGAGGAAACACAGGTATCTTCAAAGTACCCAGTGACAATGCTAAATGAACAACGTATAAGCTCATCAATATTGGATGAATATATGCAAGTTTATCATCTTACTACTTATTTTCCTGCACTGACTCTTAAGCTCTGGAAGACAGAGAAAGCCTTTGTGTCTGACTAAAGCAGGGGGATCTTCCACCATCTATGTTTTCCTCTACTGAATCTCTATCAGGCACTGCAAAATTTGTTTCACTGCTTAAAATTAACTACCTTCTACCCTTCATAGCGCTTGACTGCTTCAAGTAGCAGTGCCCACCTTGCACCTCTGTGTACTCCATGGTGGGCACTGACAAAGGAACTCCTAGCTCATCTCTAGCTCAGCTCTGCATCTCCAGAAGCTGAAGGACTTCCATTCTAGCTTATTTCATGCTCCAACTGGAGGAAAATGGGAAGGACTACTGAAGAAGTTACTGCCCCAGACATTTAAAGCTGGGCGGGGCTCTTTCAAGTATTCACCTGGAGAAATTTAAAATGCACAGGAACTTAGAGGAAAGTAAAATTTCTTTTTAATATTGTCACAGAAAGAACGCTAGCTATCTTAAGAGCTCTTCAAACTTGATTTGTTTTCAAGACAGTGGGTGGTAGCAGTAGGAAGAGCTGTGATTTCACAGCCTTAGAAGATGTGGAAATATCTGTCAAGCAATTTACACCAAGAAAAGATCCACACAAAAAGTAATCACTCTAAAACCTGAAATACAGCCAGATTTGGAGCAAGGAGAAATCCCAGCCTTCCAGGTTAAAAGACAGCAAAAAAACCCCAAAAAACAACAAGACCTTCCAAAGAATTTGATACACCAAAGTTGAGCTGAGGAAGCATTTCCTGTTTAAGAACAATTTTGATCACAGTCACCTCCTGCTTTTTTGCTGTTAGCAGCTTTTTCTTAAGACTGTGACCTACAGTTTGTGGGGACTTACAGAAGAATTTCAGAGCATGAGAAGGAAAGAAAGGAGTTACTTTTTCTTCGCAAGTGCTGGGCTTGGACCACCTTGCTTTGGATCAGACACAGAAATTACACATCTTTACTTCAGGCTCCAAGTTACCTCAACAACTTCTGAATTTAGAACATAATGAAACTCTGTCAAATGATCCTGGAAGATGATGTCTTGCAGGAGATGTTCACTGGCAGCACAGGAATCACCACCATTTGATGATGCAAAACTTAATGTGCCCAGTTCAAAGAAACACAAAACATTGGCTGTAGGGTGGTGAGAATAAAGAAATAAAGGCTATTCCAGGTGCAACTAAGAGCTGTCCTGCCTTAAGGCACACAGCTATTTTTGTAGCTGGGGCACACACAGATAAAGCCCTGCAGCACAAGGTATTTACAGCAGCAGCTCACCTCCTGCAGAGGAACTGGGATGCTGCCCACCTTTACCCACTAATAGGGATTGCAGGTGAGCACTTCTGCTCCCCCAGTTGTTCTTCCACAGCAGCTCCAGGTAACCTCCAAGGCACTGCACTTGGGGACAGAGGACTGGAGCACATCATTTTCTAGCACATCACCTTATTCAGAAGAAACAGAAGCCACCTCCCTGCAGGAAGCTTTAGTAGAGGTTACCCCACCATATGCACCTCACTGCACAGAGGAGAGAGCTTGTAGAATGCCAGGGTGTAAAGCAGAGGCCCACCAGAGGACCTGTGCTTTCAGGAGGCCAGAGTCACCACCCCCTTCTGCAGGCACCCACCCACATGGCATGGCCAAACCAGAAACCAGGCATCAAGCAACCCAGAGGGGAAGACAGGTGGGTGCATCCCACCACACCTGCCAATGGAGAAATGGTTCTGCACACCCTGCACATCAGAGGTCAGCCTCAGCTGAAATGTGCCTTGCTGGGCCCACCTGCCAGCACATAGATCCTGTCTCCATGAGCATTCCCCTGCCTGTGCAACACCAGCAGCACATGGCCATGGTGCCCAGACCTCACTCCCTGGGCTAGAGGGACTTCTCATCTGCCACAAGCAGAGTTACCAAGCTCACAAAGCAGGAACAGTAGAAGACTGAGCTCAGGCATTGCTTGTTTAAGTGAAGTTAACTGTCAGCTGTGGACTACAAGTGAAAAGGATAATTTGAAAACAAATTTAAATGCATTGAAATGATACAATTAAAAAATAAAAAATCACCTGCTTCATTCTGCATGGCTTTCTTCCCAGCATAGACAGTCTCATCTTCAGACTCAACTATCTGTTGGTATGAATTAATCTTATGTGAAAGAGATCTTAAATAGTCTTTATCTAGTAAAGCCAGCTACTTAACAAAACTAACAGTTATTAATTGCCAGCAACAAATCAGTGGATACTAATTGAGTTGATAATTTGGAAAGGTCTTGGCTCCTTTAAGGGCAAATGACAGCCATTATGTTATGCCTATTTACTGCCACATAAGCTTTTCTACAAATACCATAGACTATAGATGAATTAAAAACAAAAAATTAACTATATTAACATTTTGGGGAAAAAATAAAAAAAACACACATCATTTAGGTTTTTTGCATTAGCTAATAAAAGATCTAAATGTTATAGGTTTTATTTTCTACTTCAGAAACTCAGGAGAAGTTATAACACAAGGAATTAATTAACAAATCATTTTAACCTTCCAGCTTTAAAACTATAAATTTGAGTATCTTGAAACTTCTTTCCTAAAACACCTAATTTCTCTTTCAGGCCAAAGTTTAGAACATCTATATAGAGTGTGATAAATCCACAGTGGAAAGACAGATATAGTAAAGAGGCACAGAGAAAATAGAGAAACCACAAAACACAAATCCTACAAACCTGAATGGTTTTGTCCAGTATAAAATTATAGTTAAGAAAACAATCTATATATTGGAGCTCACCATCAGTTTCTCCTCTCCCAGGACTTTTCTAAGTACACTTAATATTTCAAACTCAGCACTGAAAACCAGTTTGACTTTTGTTGCTTCTGTTTTGTTAAGAGCAGTGGGTATCTTCATAAAAATTTTGACAATCTTTTCTCTATCCTTCCCTGCATAAAAACAAAGAAAATAAGCAATAGATTACATTTGTTTTAGATCAAGACATTCTTCTGTTAACCCAAAAATATCTGAGTAAGCATTTGGGATTTTTATAACAGGTCTTTTACATCTTGCCCTTGCATTTCCAGTTACTCTCAGTGTTATGCTCAGTTCTTTCCTGTCGAGTCTTGGTTGTGCTGTTCCCCAGGACACCTGAAAACTGACACCTCAGGCTGTCCTGTTTGGGTATGGGAGAGGGGATTACTGTACAGAAAGGGCCTACACACAGTCCAACAACCAGAGCTAATGCAAGAAGACCAAAGGACAAAGTAAAGAGGGAGAAGAATAGACAGGAACACCTTGGTGATGGTGAGATTTTACGTTTACTCCATGTGTCTCAAGGACCCCCCAGCCAAACGGGATAATGTTGGAAAAAATCTTACCCTTCACACTGTAACTGTTGACATTTTCTTTTGACAGCCTCACAGAGTCCCAAAGAAGTCACACTCTGGCTGCCAGTGTTGAAGTCAATCCAAAACTCCTCCAGTTTCTCATCTGATGGCTTCTTCACCTGGGGAAGAAGAGTGGCACTCCTGTTCCCCAAAAAGCGCTACAACTGCAGCATCAGTGACAAATTTCTTTCATGAAACTAAACTGGAAAGTGTTACCCTACATAAACATCTGTACACTCTGCAGAAGCAAGAGTTCAGACCACCCTGTGGGGTGCCAACCCACTGCTCACCCAACCACAACCATGTCAGACCTGGCTCTAGGCAAGGCACAAATGCTGTGGAAGCTGTTTCTGAGCACTTGAAATCAGCAGGAACAGTGGAACCAGTTTCCATCTACATGGGCTTGATTCAATATGACCTTCAGGAATGGTGCCACAGTTCATTCAATTGAAGACCAGTGAAGCAAACTACAGAATCTGCAACTTTTCTCCAGGGACACTAGGCTAATCTTGTTTTCTGACAGCCTGGAAACAGCTCAGTGTTGTCCTATCCTCCTGTTTCTTTTTAGCACTCTTTTCTGTCATCACCATGAAGAGAAGTGTTGCTGCTATCACTTGGCTGATACAACAGCAAAGTCAGCAGCAGTAAGTCGGGAGCCAAGGGACAAACAAGCAAGCTTTCCAGCTAGAACAGAAGGTACACTCTATGCTCTCAGAAATCAAGCTCTTCAATAAAAAAAGAGGCAGGGGAGAAAAACCCCAAACATTTACCACAGAAAGCAACGTTTAAACAGCCATGATACTGTAGGAAAGGTGTCAGAGCTTTAAGGAATATTACCTCATTCATGTCAGCAAAAGCAGATATGCAAGGAAATGAGTAGACTCTGGAAGAGAAGCAGACTTCACATGATATATTCAACATTAAAGTCTGACTTCAATTATTTTACTTTAATAAGATTAGTAACAAATTTTATTGTTCAAAGAATAATTTAAAATTTTCTAGAAGTAAATTAAGCTTGGATAAGCTAGAAACTACAATATTTTAGTATTGATACATTACCTTAATTGATTTTACTTTCAAAAAAATCACCATAAAAATGCATAAAATTTCCTTTTTAAAAACAATTTCATCTTCACATGCAATGTAAAGTTTTTTTAATATAAGCCAACTCATTTTACAATTCTATTTATTCTCCTCTGCAGTAATCATGGTACCAATTTATTCTCTGTTGGTTCCCTGCTTACCTTCTTTTATCTCCAAGCCTTTCATTTAGTAGGTTAAGAAATTTTCTGCAGTCCTTCAAGACAAATGACACATTATTTTAAAATGCAGGCTACTTTTCCTTTGCAAATTGTTATTCTATTTTGTCAAATAACTGTTTGCTGTGTAACCTCTACTGTCCAGATAAAAGCTTTAAACTGGTCAGTGAGACAACAAAGACCACTGGGAAGAAACACTCAATTTACTACAAAAGGTTGGACCCAACTTAAGACCAGTAAGAATTCAAATATAAACTCCACAAATTAACTTATTTATGCATTACTTATATTTTTTTATTTTGCTTTTTTATAGGTAAAATAATTTAGAAGCTTAGGAGCTCTTTTACCAATGTGTGGTAATGATTGATAAATATTAATAATATAACTAATATATTATTAATGTGTTCATATTATCAAAATATTGTAATTATAATATTATATGTGATGTGTAATAATATAAAAATAATTAAATATTATTTTAATATTAGTAATTTTGGGGGGGGAAAATATGCCATCCACAAATAACTTTTTATTTATAAAATCAGTTTTGTAGGAACTTCTTGCAAGGACACCCTGGCTTAACTCAACCAAAACTAGCCCCTATACAGCCTTGTCAAGTATGTTGTTTTCAAAATAAGGACCCTCACCGTCTCAAATTCTCTATCCTTGATCTCTTTGAAAGCTTCAGCGAGATAGTTATCTTCAAACCAGTGGTGAACAAGGTCATCCCTCCATTTTTTTATCATTAACCTACAAAGTGCTTCTGAAAGGGCAACCTGAAGGTCATAATCTGCCAGGTAAACACAAGCACAGGATAAATATCATCCCTGCAGCATAACAGAGGATTATAGCATTGCTACTCCTGCAATTTTATACACACGGTCACATCCTTCCTCTAGCCTCAGTTTCCCCTAGGAGAACAGGGGAGGGCAAGAGCCAAGTGTTGGCTCAGGCATCCTCAGCTCCCCCAGCTCAGCGAGATCGAGGTACAGAGCACTGCAAACCACAACACACATGAGCACATTGGGAGATGTGCTTGAGGTTCAGGAGGGGGATGTGAGCAGAGACTCATCACTAACCCACTGGGATCAGGCCATGTTCCATATACCATGGCAATACACTAAAAAGTTATTATTGGGAGAGGACAAAAGGTATTTCACTCAAGAGGCCATTAACCTTGTTAACTTAATTTCAGCCACATCATAGCAGAGCAATTCAAATTTAATTTTTTTTAAGAACAACAACCAGCATATTCTGTAAACACATAAGGCTGATCTAATTACTTTTCTACGTAAATCAGTTTAGTTTGTCTGATTAGTCAATATGCATCACCAGTACCAACCAGAAAGCGCTAATGCATTGCTGCTGTTAACTTTTTTATTTTTTGTTAAAGCACACCTGACTTTCCTCCCTAAAATCAACTCTTAGCAAGGAAATGTAATTTAAATTATAATTGATCTATAATAAATAAGCAGATGAGGTAAAGCTGGAGAAATTCTTACCACCAACCTCCAGTATAGTTTTTGCAAGATCTTTCCTGAAACAACAAAATGCCACAAGTTAAAATGGAAATAAGTGTCTCCTAATGCAGAGAAGCAGGTATGTAGGTACAGAAACTGGAGGGAAAACCACTTACGTGAGTGAGCACATGTCCTCAGAGAGCGGGAACTTCTTTCTCTCTTCCCGTGGGACACTGTCAAGTATAGAGTTGAGGGTCCTCAAGGCCTTCCCCCCAACAAGAGAAGGGGTAGAAAATTAAGGGAAACAACATTGTTTCACATCTTTTATCTAATTACACAAAATTTCACACAAACATATCCAATTTTCTCCTCCTAGTAAGAATCTTACCTCCAGATGCAGAGCGCAGCAAATACTTGCTTCTGCCACTAGGCGCCCTAGTTCAGGCAAAAATAAATTCACTAGCTCTTTCTTCCCTAGAAAAAATAATTTGAAAGGTACAGCTGGAAATGTGCTGGTGTCCATATAAAAATAGTTGAAGCAACTACAGTTGTGTTGAAGGAATAAAAACATCCCAGCTGTAAGTTCATTTTAAGACAAAGCTTCCAGCCATCTTATCCTAGACAGAAAGGGGAACCAGTAACTTCTAGCTGAAAAAAACACCAGTGTCCCAGCTACACTCACTTCTGACCTGGGTAACTATTTAAAGAGGCACAGGAAGGGGAAGATAATTACCAGCCACAAGAGAAAACCTAAATATATATGTTTTGTCCAAGTCACCAGGGCAAACCAATAAAGTATTAACCAGAAGATGCTTGTGCCACTCTGCTCCCACTAGAATAAGGTGCAAGGACAAATAAGCACACATTACCTGCCCCACAGTGCAATGAAGCATTTTTACATGGACTGTAAGCCTGGATGTCTGGTCACACAGATGTTTTCTGAAAGCACCTGCTCCCCCCCTGCCCTAATGTAAAGCTAGCTGCAGCCACAGAACAAAATTTGTCTGCTGAAATGAATGAGAGACAGACATCTCTCTGTGGAGTTCAGAAAGCTGAAGGGGTTACCATGTTATTCTGTGGAGATGGTTGCCTTCAGCAAGGGACTGACATCTGATGCCAGAACAGACTGTCTAGCCTGAACCTCTTTCAGAAGCCACTCACTCTGATCAAGTGAAATGCTTGATGCTGACCATTTAAACAAGACACCAGAGATAGACTTTTTCTTTCCAGCATGTATAAAGCAAGAAAACAAAGAAACAGAAAAAGGTTTTGTGCTCCAATATAAATGTTAATGAAAATTAACTGACAAAAAATCAACTGGAGAATTAAAAAAAAAAAAAATTGCAGAGAGGAAGCAGGAAGCTGAAGAAAAAAAAAAAAAAAGAAAGGGTACAAAGTTCAAGCAGAATTAAGAAATATGCTCCTAAGATTAAGACTCAGAATATTGAGGAATTGGAGGCAAAAATATAAAAAAACCACTGACCTTCATTACTGCATTTGCAAATCACCTGATGGAAAGAGCAAAAGAAGCCTTCATTAACACACCACCAGCCAACAACAGCAGTACACAAAGTGCCAAGCTGTTTATGCACACCTTCCTCACCCTCTAACTCTGAGATGCTAAATAACATAGAACAGTAGCATACCCACATCAGAAAAAGCCACCTGACCCAGGTATGTCACATATGGTCACCCTGATCATACAGGCTGGCAATATGCAGGGAGGGTAAAGGTGGCCAAGCACCCACTTCCCCCAGGGATTTCAGCAGCACCTGAGAGCGCAGTGCCTACAGGTTCCCTGGAAAACCCACATTGTGACATCGTTCTCTTATTTTTGTTGTACATGTGGGCCCGTGTAAAAGCACATTTTATCTTTATACACTATAGTGCTAAATATCACAATGTGTATCTGAAGGCTGTTAAAGTCTCCTGAGGAAAATTAAAGATAAAAACTTTAAAAATTAAAAACAGTTCCACAACACAAAACACTTCTTCCTCCACAGTGAAAGCCTGTGGAAGAAACGTAGTAGAAAGACAAATAAATTAAGTTTTTGGGAAAATAAATATTTTCATCAATATTTATATATATATTATAATTAAATATAATATGTAATATAAAATACACATATTATATCTATATTATATATATAATTTAATATATTTTATAATTTCAAAATGGTGAGTAGAGAAAGAAGAAAGTTTACTTTTTCTCAAATATCTTTTAGCAGAACTCCTGAAGAGAGCTGTAAGTATTGATATGAATTCTGATGCACAAAGTGACACAGTTCCAGTAAGCTACAGGCAAGAAAATTGGGAGCAACAGCTTGGAGGAAAAAAGCTAAAAGGCCTTCTTCCTATTACAAATGTTACATCACTAGGCCTCTAAACACCATTAAAATCCTTAAACATTTCAAGTTGAAACCTAAATCAAAGTTGCAATCAAGTTAGATCATTCTTTAGAATTGGATCATCTGTTTCAAACAGATGAGGAACAAATCACCAGGACCATCTTAGCAAACACTTTTGCACATCAAGTGCAACTTGGTGTCCATAAGTTGCTGGTTCTAAAGAGAGCATCAGCTCACAAACTTTTATTTACAAAATGCATCAGAATTTCTTGCAATTTTTTTCTACCAAAATAAATACTCCTGGACACCACCCAGCCCCACCACCTAGGCTGCATCCCAGACTCAGCCCTAGGGCACCATATCCATGCAATTATTTATTTTCTAACAGGAAACTGTTGGTGAACAATAGCTATCGTATCCAATCAAACCAACCCTTCTGTCCCCTTAAATGCATAAACATACCAGTGCACAATCAAAGAAGTCTTCAAGCAGTAACATCAAAAATTTATTCTCATTTGGGTCGATGACTGTCACAAATGTTCTTGTTCTTTCAAACCAAGATACCAGGTAAAAGTTAAAAGAATGAGTTAAAAACTGGGAAGAGGATCCCTGAAAAGCATAACTTCAGGACAGGAATACAACACTTTTAGCTGTTCCCTGGAAGCTGTGTTGGATCCAGGTGCTACTCATCTTCAGTGCAATTGCATTTCTGCTACTACAACTATTACCAGATGAAATCAATATAGTGCCAGAAGATAAAACACAATTGCAGATTAAATGCATCTGGTTTGCTACATATCTAGAGAGGACCCTTCAAAAATAATATCTGTTTTTAAAAATATAAAAGCACAAATTACTCATCAACTCTATTACTAAAACTACATTTTGCTGGAACATTTAAAATGCATTTAGAAAGTCTATACCATTTCACTAATGGAACTCATAGCAACCCATCCTCTCCTTACACTATCAGCTTTAAAAAAATCCCAAAACCCAGCCCTTTAAATCAGGTAATAAGTGGAGCCATAGAATTGGCTGCTACACCAAAAATCAACAAAAGAGAGCAAGCATTTTTCCCCCACTCAGTTCATGCAATACACTAGAAAAAATATTTTGTTTCTGTGTGACCAACAAGCCATCCTCTAGTTTTCACTTCCTTGGAACTCTTTTTCTTAAAGAACCTTTAATCACATTAGTAACTTGTGTGCAGTATTATACTCATCTTTGCTACCAGTCCTTGCTCAATGAATAAGCTCTTCCCTTCTTGAAAATCACTTTTAAGGTAGAGCTGAATACATTTCAGCAGCAGAGAAACATTCTCAAATTCATTCTTGTCCAGCTCCTACAAAAACACAGAGTGCTGTGCATCAGTAGTCTGCTACCCTCTGAGTTAGGTGTTAGGATAGTTGAGATTATTTATGGCACTTGCCTTTCTCAGTGCTTTGTCCAGCTGGTTAAAGAGAGATTCACTGTATTTCTGGGGAGGCTCTACTTCCTTCTCTTGAATCAGTTCATGTATTTTTTGAAACCCCTTCCCTTTAAAGGCATCAGTGAGCAGTGATTCAACCTATAGATGCAGGAGAAGGAAATAATTAGCAAATAAAATAAGCAGGCATTGAACTTGTAGCAGCAGTAATTATGATAAAATACTTACAACACTATTTTTAAAGTTGCAAGTTTCTGTTTATTTGTTTTACACTGTTTGTTTCTCTACTTTCATTCTACTGCTACATTTGAAGTAAAATATCAGTCTTAATGTCCAAAAGAGACAGAACCCTTGAAACTGAGCAACCTTAAAAGATACCAGGTAAGGAAAACAGGCAATTTAGTATACCTGGTTTGCAAGTCCCACAACTATTACAATAAATCTTTTTCCCCACTTACTAAAGAAAAAAAAATTAAGAGGACTGCTGCACTTCCCACATTAAGTAAAATTATTGAAAGTTTTGGGTCATGTCATATCCAGTTAAGAAATGCACCTTAAATAAATAAATAAATAAATAAATAAATAATAACAATTTGTAAGATGACAATAAAATTACTAAGATTTTTTAAAATTACTAAAATTTTTTTTTTTACTGAAATTGCTAAAAGTTTGGGGTCACATATACATATATGTGATACATATATATGTATATATACATATATGTATGTATATATACATATATATAAAAAAAAATAACAATTTGTAAGATGAAGATAAGGATGCATTTAAAAGATCCTTACATAGTCTTCTGCTCTATTGCCTCTCACATCTCTACTTCGTTCTTCACTTTTTTGTTCCTTTAAAAATATAAGGAAGAGAAAAACACACACTTTTTTGTTCCTTTAAAAATATAAGGAAGAGAAAAACACAGAAAAAAAAAAATCTTCTCTCTCCATCCCCTCCAAAAAAAGAAAATCCCACCAACCAAAACAAACCCAAACACTTTTTCTGCCCCAAAGCTGAAGAGCACTTACTCCTCCCCTCTGTCCCAAAACGCTGCTTTTCCTTCGTTATTACCCAAGCCGCAGAGCACCCCCCCGCCCGCCAAGGCGAGGTTTGTGGCAGCCCGGGAGTGCCGCGGGTGTTCCCGAGGGAGCAGCGAGTGTTCCCCTCCGGGTGGCGGCTGCCGGCCGCGGGGAGCGCCGCTCACCTGGGCCATGCTGCGGGGGCTGCTTCGCGCCCTCCCCGCTGCTGCTGCTGCTGCTGCTGCTGCAGAGCACACCCGCGTTCAGGGAGGAGGGGGACCCTGGCCGGCCTTTCTCCGAGCACCCTCCTCAGCAAGTCCTCGCTCTGTACATCAGGAGCGGTGGGGGAAAAAGGGGGAAAAGGCGCCCGGTTCGCCCCCACGCTAAAAGGCCCTAAAAAGGAGCTGTGTGGCTCCTGGGACCGGCGCCAGCACCCGGGCACCGGCAACACAGCACTGGCAGCCCCCCGGCCGAGCCCAGGCGGGCAAAAGAGGAGCCCAGAGCCTCCCTGAGCGCTGCTCTCGGCCAAGGAATGCCACAGCAGGCGTGTGGGCTGCCGGCTGGGCTTTATTGTGCTCAGCTGAGAGTAAGGTTCAGTAAATTTTGGAGCAGAGAGGATGGAAAGGAATGAGAAAATCATTCCGGACAGGTGGGATCGTTTAAAGGGTAATAGCAGCGCTCGGCGTTCCATGGCTCGGTCTCTGCTGCCGCGGATAATTTTTTTCTTTCTCTTTTCCGCACCAAAACTCAATCTCCCTCCTTCCTTCCCACAACACCACCTGTCCCCTCCAAAAAAAACCCCAAACAATAATCACGAAAAACAAAACAACAAAAAACTTCAGACCCCCATGGCTATTTCTTTCGAAAAGAAAAGGGTAACAAAAAACTGTGACTGTTCAATAAGTTAAAATGTGCCTATCAATACAGCACCAAAATCAACTTTGCATTTTAAACCAGGTGCTACAGAGCACAGCGCGAAGGGGAAACCTGCCAAATAACTCCGATTTCGTTTACGTCCAGGTTATTCAGCATCTTTGCCTCCCTCCAGAGGCTCTACAAGCTGCGGGCAGCTCCGAGCCACGCTCAGAATCCAAGATCAGGAGCATCCCGGTGGGGCAGAGACGGGTCCCAAGGTTCCCATCTCCCCCCGAGGGAGGGAGCGAGCGGCGGAGCCCCGCGGCTGCCGGGTTAGACTTCCAAACCCCGCTCAAATTTGCCGAGGTCACGGCCCCCAGTGCTGGGGGATGGACTCGTGCACAACCCCTCTGTCTATCCCCCACCACACAACTTCAGGTGAAGGTGGCGGAAGCCGCCTGTGGAGGGGGAGCTCAGCTCCTGCCCAGCCGGGGGCCGCGGTGGGGGTCGGTGGCTGTGCCGCTGTTCCGCCTGCGGGGCTGGCTCAGGGCTCCCCCGCACACTCCTCGGCGACGCCCCGACCGCATAAAAAACCGGCATCGGCACCCACGGGCACTCTGTGCCATGAAGCTCACCTGGGACATCAACGACCCCAAGCTGCCGCAGGTAACTCACGGGTGGGAGGTATTGGGGAGAGTCTCGGTCCAGCTCTAACGCAGAGCTGGGCAACAGCGGAACTAACTTGACTCTAAGCAAAGCTTTGTTTTACTTCTGCTTTATTTCTCTTGTGCCTTTTCACTTTTTGTTTTGTTTTGTTTTGTTTTGTGGTCTTTATAAAGCAACTTGTAATAAATTTGATACACAGCTTTGGCTAGCTGGATATGAGCTCCTAAAACTACCTGTGACTCCATTTAGACCTTCATTTATTTACCTTCTTCCCCCTCTCCCTCTTCCTTGTTCAAGAAATGCTGACCAGAAGCTTGAATTGACTGTTTACTACCATGATCCAAGTTATCTAATTATTTCTTTGTTTTATTGATGCAACACATCACACAATTTAATGTCAATGAGCACTCTGCTTTTGTCTAGTTGTGAGTTTCAAAGGTGTTTTTTAATTTGAAACTTTTTTGATCTTAGAGTTTATTTTTACAGAGCCCACGCTATTATAGAATGTCTTAATGCTGTAAATGCTGGTAGTTTACTTCTGTTTACTGGGGTTGCTCTCACATGTGGTACATACATATGTTACATATGCTTTGCATTGTAAATAGTTGCAGTTTAAAATCTTAGTTCTTCTTTCATGGTTCTGATAATTACATTTTAGTAAGGAACTCCAGAAAGCCAGTGAAATCCCAAACTGAAGCGCTCTTTCTTTGCACCACCATACATATATTGGAAGTACATTTGCAAAGACAAATCTTTTTACCTCTATTTTTTGGGAAAAGCCTTATTCAAATCATATTAGATGCACTTTAAGAAAACATTCCATAGCTAAAACTTCTTGTTTCCTGCCTGCAGGTGCATGGTCCCACAACAAGGAGAACTTAATAGAAGTCATGATCAGGGTGGCTTGTGTCTCGTCTGGGCACACTGATAGTAGACTAGTCAGTAAATTCTGGGAGTTGGGCTGATGTCTTATAGCTGGTAACTTCGCTGTAAAAGGCATATGTATCGACAGACTGTGTTACATGCAAAAGAGGAAAGGATCCTGACTCTCTTTTCATGTATGGAATCTCTGACTTCCCTGGCCCCTTTAGAGAGCAGAGCTGAGCAAGCTATTCTTTCAATACTTCTTTTTCTGCTGCTTGTCTGGTGATAGAAAAAACACTTTTCCCTGCTATGTGCTTTATAACAAGGAAAATATATCATTTTTTAATATACTAATAAGGTTCTCTTGCTCTTCTCCTTGCTGCCTCGCCCTCCCACCCCACCCACCCTGCTGCAGGAGCCCAAGCACTTCGATGCCTTCCAGGAGTGGCCCGATGGCTACGTGCGGCTCATCTACTCGAGCGAGGAGAAGAACGCGCAGCGGCACCTCAGCGGCTGGGCCATGCGCAACACCAACAACCACAACTGCCAGATCCTCAAGAAGTCCTGCCTGGGAGTGGTGGTGTGTGCCCGGAGCTGTGCTCTGCCCGGCGGGGCCAGGCTGCAGCTCCGACCCGCCATATGCGACAAGGCTCGCCAGAAGCAACAAAGTGAGAGGCACCCGGAGAGAGCTGCCATGCTCTTTTATCTGGGCTCGGTTTCCAGACTAAGGCATAATTGCAACGACTGATTAATTCCAAATTTCATCAATGTCTGCTTGCAAATATTTAAGGGGATATGGATTGAAATCCTTTAAATTATTACTTTATAACTAGTGGGCAGTTCTAGCTCGTATCGTGTACCTATGCTTGGTAGTCTATGTTGTATTTCCTTGGACAATACATTTTAATCTGAATTTTGGAGAGGTCTGACCGTGCTGCTCTTGAGCTGTGTTTACTCTCAGGCAGCATCCTTGTCCTTAATCAATCTCTTCAGCACTTTCTGTCTGTTCACAGAGAAAGCCTGCCCCAACTGTAACTCTGCCCTCGAGTTGATTCCTTGCCGGGGACACAGCGGCTATCCGGTCACAAACTTCTGGAGGCTTGATGGCAAAGCAATATTTTTCCAGGTAGAAAGCAGCTGTATGTATTTGTGCACACTATATAATTACACCAGTATACAAAATAATACCTGTAAAGAGAGAGATTTCTTCCTCCTCCCCCCCCTTTTTAGGTAACACAGACCATTATGAACATGATGAAGTCCATGACTGAATTTCTCTTTAGTATGAATATAATAAGAACAAATAAAACAATAACGCTTGGATGTCTCTTTAAAAGCAGTACTTACGTGTTGGCAATATTCAGTTTTAACTACAATAATGTGGTTAGTCATTGATGGCTAAAATTCTCCTGTTTACAGAATACAAATACGAACAAAAGTTGTCTTGTACCCTGGTGCATATGACAACTGGATCTCTCCAATATTTATTTCCAATTATTTATTTCCTACTAAAATAAATATGAAAAAAAAGCATGACTTAAATCATGAAATTCTACTTCATGTGAAACTAGCCTTTGAATTTTGAAGGATTTAAAATCTTGACAGGAAAAAGAAGAATCTTAGCTGAAATTTGAAATTTCATCTTGATTTTTTTTTTAACAACATTGGAAAGAATCTTAGCTGAAATTTGAAATTTCATCTTGATTTTTTTTTTTAACAACATTGGAACAAAAAGTAAACAAAAAGTTCCTATTCTGTGAGATCACATTTTCTCTTGGATATATTTTTTCCCATGACTCACAAATAGTGAATTCTGTTCTCCACTCAGTAAATGGAAAAAAACCTGGCCATATTCTCAGAGTCGCTCCTATATTATTCAAATGTTCTCTTACAGACATGCAAAGCTGGAAGATTTTACTATCAAAAAAATTTGATAAATCCTTGCTTAGAAGTTAATTTCTGCTTGAGACAGAAAAGCAATTTTTAGGCTTCCTACTGTGTATTAGGGACTGTATATAGATCTGTTCAGGCAAATGAGTAAGGAAATGGTAGTGTCCATGACTTCATCACATACCAGTGTAACTTTGGTTAGGTAGATCTGCATACCCACAAATGTTTCAATAGCAGAGCATCTTCAGATGATTTTCCAGGATATAATTTTCAGTCCTGTTCAAGAAGGTGTATTGCTTGAATAGAACATTTATCATCTTGTAGCACGAAACCTCTTTAAAGTCTATTTATTCTATTTATATACAGGCTTATAAAGCAGAACTGAGATACTGGACTGCAGAAAACTGGCCAAACAAAATTTATTTTTTTTCCTCCTTGGTTCTAATTCTGAATGTCACAAACATAGATAGCACTTTTGCTCCTTCATCAGCTCAGTACTCCTTACTGACTTCTCACTTTTTCCTTCTATCTACATCCAAATCTTGATTTATTCTATTTATTTTCACAATGAATTTGTCCTTGTTTAGTTTCTCCTTTCTTTTTTCTTGTGCTAAACCACAGACCATGCTCTGACTACCTCTCATACTACTCAGAGCCTTTTCTCTTATCTTAGCCCTTTTAAGGTTCACATCTAATTCTCAGTTAATCCTAATTTAGGCTAAAGGAGTCCATGACCACCCCCGGCCAGAGAGTAAACTGGAGGCAGAGGCAAGAAGAAGTGCAATTAAGAAGCAAATGTCCTCTTACCACCACTCCCAGAAAAAGAGATCTCTAAACTCAGAGGTAAGTCAACGTCATCAGTGAAATAAAAAAGGTGACAGAAATTACTTATGCAAATTAAAAAGGTGTGATAAGCATGTACTGGAGATCCCAGGGCAAAACAAACCTTTACACCATGCTACACCTGTTGATTTGGGGCTGAAACTAGCAACAGCACAAGTACTGAGACATATGTGTCCAGGCACTATTGATTCCTGTATCTTAAAAATCTACTTCTCCTTGTCAGGCAGGAAGGTACCATGACAGCAGTGGTTACACCAATAACCTACAGAATTTTCACTGCATGGATGGCCCAGAACGAGTCGGTATCTTCACAGACACCAATTTTTCAATTCCAGCCCAGTCCTACCCTTCTCTGCAGAGCACAGACCTCTACAAGGCACCTTATGACTCAGCCAGCTTCCAAGAGGACCAGCTTTCACCATACCCTAAATGCCCAAATCCTAGGATCTACATGCCCAGGCCGTGCAACTATGAGTTTGGAGTTCCTACCTTTATAAGCTCAAGTCCTTACCCACCATTTTACAAAGATCTGACCAGTCCAGCCATTGATGCAGACCCCCTCAGTCTGAACGGGCCTCACTACAACGCCGTGACCACCCACGATAAGAGCTCTGATAACCCTGGCAGACATTACGGACTGAAACCAGCGCGGGGGAAAACCGGCAGCGGAGACCGGGGTGAGTACGGGCAGATGCCAACAAGTGCTCCCCACCCTTACTACAGTGGGGACTATCCCTGCAGGTACAGTCCCAGCCCCGCTCCCATGGCCCCGCCGCTGCAGACGGTCATCACCACCACCACCAAGGTGTCCTACCAGGCCTACAAGCCACCCACGCTGAAATACAGCGACAACCTCTGCGATATGAAAAACCTCCAGAGCTACACCCAAGTGGCTGAAAATGTCTCAGGTGCCATCTATTCAGGGATGAAGATTCAGGAAGACTTTGGGATGATAAAGTCAGCGTTGCTCTACCAGCACGACTCCATCCCTACGAAATCCAAACCGGCTGAGAGCATGGAGAGCTATCGGTATGGGCTCCCTCTGGGGAACAGCTTTGCTGAGCATGAAGGCCAGGCCCTGAGGTTTGAGAGTGCTGAATACTGACAAAACGGTGCCTAAATGGCAAATACCTTCAGATGGGATAACAGATTATTGTGCTAAACCAGGTGGTTTGGGATCTGAGGAGATGTAAGGAAGCAGAACATCAAGACAGCTTTTTTCCCTAAAGCATTTTTCTGGAGCGGTGTGCTGAGTGAATTATATTTTGCTATCTAATTTCAAAGAAGCCCCACACAATCTCTAAAATGGCACAAGGAACCGAGCCTAAAACACACCTGGAGAAAGTAATATGGAGGCACAGCTCCTCTGGAAGTCAGCAGCCTCCTCTGACACCAAGTGCAATCCACATGCAGCTACAACTCCTGCCAGATGCCTTAAGCTTTTAGAGGAAATACTCCATCTGTAAGAAAGAAAAGACTAACCAGGTAATGGAAAAAAAAGTAGGAAGGTAACTATAGATTATAGTCAACTGAAGGAAATGGCAGGGAAAGAAAGAAATAAAAGAAATGTGGAAGGGAAACAATTTGCAGAAATAATTCCCCTGAATGGTCCGTCCACCTGCCATGATCCTTGTGATGAATGGAAAGATCAGCCAAGTTTCTCTGAAATGAGAAATGAAAAACCTGAGACATAAGAAATGAAACATCCTAAATTCATGTTGCTTTTTGATCCCCTGTATCAAGGGTAGAGATTACCCAGTCTTTCTATGTAAGAAGGAGAGCCCAGTGCAGCTGCACCAGGAACTGATGCCCTCTAACACTCAGCCTGGAGGCAGGAAGGCTCAGGTAGCCCTCACCAAGCCTGCTCAGCATCACATGGCTGCCAGAGTTAACTTATGTGGTCCTGAAAACCATTTACAGTGAAACTGGTTTTTGCTTAGAGGGGCCTCTGCAAGCTGGTCAGACCAATTGGTTATTGGTGCAGAATTGTCTTTAACCACGAATACAACTCATCCTGCCTAAGGGTGCAACATCCCAGCTGCTTTGTACAGGTCAGTGTCGAATGAACATTTCCTGGCTGCCTCTCTGCACTCCATCTCCATCAGGTCCTTCTCTTGAGGGACTTCTAGTCATTTTTCTCTCTGTAATCATAGCTTCCCATGACAGTAGTGCTTTGGAAATTAAACAACCAGCCAACAGAGAGGTTAGAAAGTAAGATCTCCAAACAGAGACGAGCAAAGAAAACATAAGGAAATTCATTCCAAAATTCATCCCTAAACCGACTAATTCTTAGTTAATGTGGAAAGAAGAGAAAACAGAGCAGTACTGCTTTAAAACCAAAGATATTTTGAAAGCTGCCTAGTATAGGGGAATAGAACCCTTCACCCAAAATATGTGTGCCAAGTAAGGGAGCTAAGTAGACACGGGAGATTGATCAGGGTCAAAAAATTAAGTTAGCAAGTATCTTAAATTTCTTGAACAATATTTTTTTTCCTCTCTCTCATGTATATTTTTGCCGTGTTTTGAGAAGCAGCATACTACCGTAGTACTTCAATAAATGTGAAATCACAGTAAAAAACAAGGCATCATGTAAAGTAATGTGAGCAGCTGGCTAGTTAGAATTATAAGATTCTGTGCACTGAAGCCATCATTAACCTGGTAAATAAACTGTATTTTCAAAGCATACCATACAAATATCTGAGGTTAAAAAATAGTTATTTCTGATGTAGTATATTTTCTTTCTTTTTATATTTTTATGAAAAACATGTTCAGTCTGAGATGTAAAAATCAGTCCCACAGAAATTTAGTTAATAGTATCCTGTTTCAGCTGTAAATTATTCAGCATTTTAAAAATTCAAGCCAGACAAAGATGGAATTGACAAAAAGACTAAATTAATTCACCTGCAGCAAGCTTATCTTGTCTTTTAGCTCTAGTGTACTTGCTGTATATCTTTCTTGGCTTTTGTTAAACTCTTATGGCAATTCTTCTATTAAGTGTTTTAAATTACTGATAAGAAGGGATTCAAGTGAACAACATCAATTTGATAATTAGCCTACATACTGACCTTTAAAAGAGAGGGAAAAGAAAAGGTGATTTGTGAGTTATTAGCCAGAAAGTCTGATGCAAAATTTTAGAGTTTAGGAATGTATAACACTAAGCCTGTTTACAGAACTGGGATTTCTCAGCTGTATGCCAAGTCATATTGAGGCATTTAACATGTAGAATAAAAATCAAGGCTCATAGCCTTATAAGTTTAAAGGAGAGAAAAAGAGTATAAGAGGGGAGTAAGCCCAAACAAAATGACTAAAAAAGCTGGAAAGATTCACTGCAGATGGAAAAATCAAGATAAATATTAAAGCTGTAAATTTCTCTATTTTATAGGGATTTTAGTGGAGTTAGCCAACCACAATCCAAGCACAAACTACTAAAATAGTGCACACTATTAAAACAGACAATCTGTGGGGGTTGCATGCGGTTTACATTACTGGTATAACACCTGTCATTGTAGTTGTATGCTTAAATCATTATGCTATCCAATTAAACCGAGCCTTTAAAGCAGACATTTATACACCAGTAAAGAAAATGCAGCCAAATGTGTTAAGATGCTACTTTTAGGGTGTGGATTTATTTATAATAAATATGACAGCGGTTTAAGCACAGTGGAAAGCTACAGTGGTGATTACCTTGCTGCATTATCTGAGCAGTACAACAAATAAAACCACTCTAAAGGTTATTGCAGTCTTTCTTTACCTTGATTCCTCTCATGTACTATTGCCTGGGATGAGATTAGCTGTATGTTACCTCTTACAGATAAAAAATCAGATGGAAAAAGCCTAGAGCTGTAAACAGTTTTTCTCTTCAGAATACATAAATGTAAAGGCAATGGGAGCTTCTGTAACATCAACAAAAAAAAAAACAAAACCTGAAATTGAAAGCCTCATTGTAGGTTTATACAGCTGCAGCATTGACTTTAAAAGCATGTTCCTGAGGCAAAGCAGCATCCTGAAGCAAGATGGTCCCTGAGTAAGCACCTTCTCTTCCATTAATCGTCCCTTTCAAGTATGGTTTCTGGTCCTGCATTGAGCACCTGAGAGGAGCCCTTAACCAGCCTGTACCCTATATTCTGACAGACATCTCCATCTAACAAATTCCAGCTGTTATGGCAAAATCACAGAAGGAGCAGAGGAGAAGGTGCTTTCAAATGTCAGTTTCCTGGGGCTCTGGCTTCAAATGGGTTACAAGGGCCCTACTGAGGTAAAGCACCATCTGTCCCCTTGCTGAGGATGCCCTTTGTACCAAAACAGCAGCCTTGCAATGGCAAAGGTTAAAAGCCCAAACGCTGAACGGATGCCTCCCAGAGACAAGAGGCCCAGGACAATGTATTTCAATTGTGTACCCCTGAAATGCAGCCATGTGCCACATGCCTGACAGATGCAAATACCTGTGGTATCACTTCATGGTCACATCTCTTCGTGGGGGGTGGACAGAGCCTAGCACACTGTCCTGCTCCATGACCACATGTATCCACCCAGTCCTGCTAAAGACCTCCAGTGAGAGTCTGAGCCATTTACTTAGCCCTTGATCCTCTTCCAAAAGCAGGTTATCTGAGGGCATTTCAAATGTGCTAAATGCTACAAACAAAGTATGCAGGAACTTGGCTGTTTGGGGCTTATTGAGTCCAAAGTAGTCATCTCTTCATTTGGGGGTACAAACTATCACCTTAAAGACACAGACAAACTTTTCTCTCAGTTCCATGAGTAGAAACCACCAGCACAACAGAATTGAATATGATCTGAGACTTTTTTCTTCATGTGGATTTTCTGAGATTTCTTCTGGTTTCTTGGGGTTTTTCTTAGTGTCTTTTTGGGGCAAAGCTATAGCTGAGACAGCTTTCACCAAAGTAGATTATGTTTCCTGAGAGACACCATTTAATAGGATGCACAACACAGCTCTAGGGGTGCATTTAGGAAAGCTCACGTCATTCCCACCCTTATCAGTAGAAGTCACATGCAGACAAAAAGGAGAGAACTGAGGCATTTAGTGTTGGAGTGGTTCCTCCCAACATATAGAGCAAAAAGTTAGTCCAGGCCTGTTAAAATCCCTCTGCCTGAAAAATAACTGGTGCACAGTGGTTTTCCACACCTGGATTACTGCCCTTGGTGTTCTAGATGCCTAAAGTTAAATATCTGTCTGTCACTCATAAGCAAAGGGAAGGTGAACCAGATAGTGTTTACCTGAGACTGTGCAAAATGGAGAGTGCATTTCAACACAGCATCTCTCCAGGCTTTCCACTCATGTGGAAAGAGTCCACATGAGACCCAAAGATCAGTGGGATGACACAGGTGCAAGTAAGTATCACAGGGAAACATTGCTTGTTTAGCTCAATCTTATTCAAACAAACAGAAAAATGAAGTTTACACAATCCCTATAAGCTACAGCATGCATGCTGGCACTTGTGATGGTGTTTGGGAGAAGGCAGTTTCAGGTATTTTGGCTGGCACCTGAGCATAGCATCAACACCTTTAAGGATCACAACCAAAGGAGGTTCTTTCAACAGAAAATTACCAGTGGGTCTGCATGTATTGTTTTGTAAAAATAAGTAGGAAAGCAGGTGCATAAGGATGTTCTCTGAGGTGCTTTAGCAGGGCTCACAAACATCCTGGGTCTCTTTGTTCCATCCTGTTGCCTTTCCTTTAGTTTCCTGGTTCACAGCAAAAGCACAGGACAGCACCTCTCTCCTGTCTTTATGACAAAATGAAGTGTTAAGTGACTGGCTTGCAGTGCTTGTACTTAAACTCCACACCGTGTTGCAGCCTGGCTCAAACACTGGCAAGTCCTGTCTATGGCCTTTCTGTCATCAAGTGTGTTAAATGCTGGGGACCATTGCAAAAAGTACTAATAATTGATAGACACAAGGTCCTGGTAGCAGAATATAGACTTGAACATTTCTCTTGTGCAAAACTAATACAGAAATTATTTAAACATCAACCCCTTGCTTACACCAGATCTCTTTTAAGGGACTGCAATTAGACTGGAAATGTACCACAGGCAACAAGAGCATTTGTTCAGCAACATGGACAATGGGGTTGAATGCACTCTCAGCATGGTTGATGATGAAACCAAGCTGTGTGGTGCAGTCAGCATGCTGGAGGGAAGGGATGGCATCCAGAAGGAGCTGGGCAGGCTAGAGAGGTGGGATTGTGCAAACCTGATGGAGTTCAACAAGGCCAAGTGCAAGGTCTTGCATGTGGAACAGGGCAATCCCAAGCACAAATGCAGGCTGAGGGAGAACAGATTGAGAGCAGCTTTAAGGAGAAGGACTTGGGGATGTTTGTTGTGTGCCAGCAGCCCAGAAGCCAAACATGTCCTGGGCTGCATCCAAAGCAGCGTGGCAACAGGCTGGGAGAGGTGATTCTGCCCCTCTGCCCTGCTCTGGTCAGACCCCACCTGCAGTGCTGCATCCAGCTCTGGGTCCCCCAGCATAAGAAGGATGTGGACCTGATGGAGCAAGGTCCAGAGGAGACCACGGAGATACTCAGAGGGCTGGAGCACCCCTCCTATGAAGACAGGCTGAGAGAGCTGGGGTTATTCACTCTGGAGAAAAAAGGGTTCTGGGCTGACCTTGTATCATCCTTCCAGTACCTAATAGGAGCCTGCAAGAGAGCAGGAGAAGGACTTTTTATATGGGCATGTAGGGATGGACATGTAGAACAAGGGGGAATGGCTGTACACTGAGACAGGGTGGATTTAGATTAGGTATTAGGCAGAAATTCTTTACTGTGAGGGTGGCGAGGCTATAGAACAGGTTGTCTAGAAAAGCTGTGGATGCCCTGGAAGTGTTTAAGGCCAGGTTGAATCAGGCTCTGAGACATCTGGTCTAGTGGAAGGTGTTCCTGGCCATGGCAGGGAGGTTGGAATCAGATAGTTTTTAAGGTTCCTTCCAGCCCAAACCACTCTTATGAAACTGAGTGGCAGCACCAGAGGAGGGAGCTTATCACTGGGAAAGGAAATTTAGTCATGGCACATGGCTAAACTGTAGAGAGGGGAAATGACACAAGGGCAGAGAGGGGAACTGCTCATCACAGGGTAACTGCTGCATCATTTCCACTGACAGTGGAGAGGTGTTTTCTCATATGTAAGGTAGGGATGTACCCATGTAATACTGATCAAACATATTCTTAGAGGTTAATGCATAGTTAAATTATTTGCTACATACAGTCAGCTCCTGCTTAATCTTTGCCTGAATTCTGCTGCGTGGGTTACGGTACTTTCTTCCTTCTCATGTCCAAGTCTCACCTTTGAACTTTATTTTACCTGGCAGTCACCTCTGATGTTTTATTTCAGTAAAGGAAACAGGCATATTTTGTTTCAGAAAATATAATGTTGTTTTCTTGTACTTTCATTTCAGCAAGCTATGTGCAAGTGGTCAAATCCTTTGAATTCCAGAAAACCGATTCCCATAGCCCCACGTTCCACCCAGTTGACTTGAGGCAGAATCAATTAATCTGTCAGCAGTTCTTAAACAATCACAAAGTTACCACACCAATTAATAAGGAACAGGGAGGGGAGAGAAAAAAGGTAAAATGAAGACAGCTTCCCATTTTTGCTCAGCAAGCCTGAGCTGCTGGCTTGGCAAAGCAGATAAGAATCTGAATTTCTAAAGCAATTTTCTGCCTTTCCCTCCATGGTGCTTCTAGTAGTAATGGTGTTGAAATGTTCGCTTCCTTTTCTTGTCCCCCACTCTCAAAAACATTAAATTTATTTTTTTTTTAATTTTTTAAAAAAATTTGCTCAAGCTAATGTTGAGAATTGAAGTTTAAAATGAGACTCCCCTGCCAAAAGCACCTCTGGATCAGACACTAAATATGCCCTTTTTATTAACTGTGCCTTCTGTACACCCTGGAGAAATGCAAGATTACAAAGGATTAAGGAGAAAGTTCATTATTATTTATTTGTAACAGAAATACATATAATGTAGAAATTTAGAATAGACCACTCAAAGTTTCTCCCCTGCATCAGTATTAGCAACATGCATTTTTAGTAAATTGCTTACAATAAATATTTTTTTTTAAATGCTAAGGGACAAAAAATCCCTCATATTTCACTGCAGCTGTGAATATTACAGCTGGGAATTTCTGTACAAATCCTAAGTACACTGTGGCTTAGCTGGTAGCTTTATTTCATATGATCATAGAATGGTTTGGATTGGAAGGGGACCTTGAAGATCATCTAGTCTTGAAGATGGTCTAGTTCCAACCCCCTTGCCATGACCAGGGACACCTTCCATTAGACCAGGATGTGCAGAATCCTATTCAACCTGGCACTGAACACCTCCAGGGATGGGGCATCCACAACTTCCCTGGGTAACCTGTGCCTGTGCTTCACCGCCACCACAGTAAAGATTTTTTCCCTAATATCTAGTTTCGTTCAGTTTGAAGCCGTTATCCCTTTGTCCATGCTCTTGTAAATAGACTCTATCCATCTTTCCTGAAAGCTCCCTTTAGGTACTGGAAGGCTACTCTAAGGTCAGCCTGGAGCCTTCTCTTCTCCAGGCTGAGCAGCTCCAACTCTCTCACAGCCCGTCTTCATGGGAGAGGTGCTCCAGCCCTCTGAGCATCACAGAGCACACAGCTCTGGACTGGCTCCAACACGTCCATGTCCTTCCTGTCCTGGGGACCCCAGAGCTGGATGCAGCACTGCAGATGGGGCTTCACCAGAGCACCAAATATATACCCAATATATAATTACTATGGCAGCAATTATAATAAGGACTGTCGCGTATCATGGGGCCACCTTCAGGGAACCCGTGACGTGGCTGTGGTCGCCAGGCTCGGCTCCGGTTGCGCACCGCTCCCTTTCCAACAGGGTGGTGGCTCCGCTCCCCACAGCGCTGTTTATCCACCGCCTCCCAGCTCCGCCGCTCCAGCCGGCATTCCCGGGCANCGCGCAGCGGCACCTCAGCGGCTGGGCCATGCGCAACACCAACAACCACAACTGCCAGATCCTCAAGAAGTCCTGCCTGGGAGTGGTGGTGTGTGCCCGGAGCTGTGCTCTGCCCGGCGGGGCCAGGCTGCAGCTCCGACCCGCCATATGCGACAAGGCTCGCCAGAAGCAACAAAGTGAGAGGCACCCGGAGAGAGCTGCCATGCTCTTTTATCTGGGCTCGGTTTCCAGACTAAGGCATAATTGCAACGACTGATTAATTCCAAATTTCATCAATGTCTGCTTGCAAATATTTAAGGGGATATGGATTGAAATCCTTTAAATTATTACTTTATAACTAGTGGGCAGTTCTAGCTCGTATCGTGTACCTATGCTTGGTAGTCTATGTTGTATTTCCTTGGACAATACATTTTAATCTGAATTTTGGAGAGGTCTGACCGTGCTGCTCTTGGGCTGTGTTTACTCTCGGGCAGCATCCTTGTCCTTAATCAATCTCTTCAGCGCTTTCTGTCTGTTCACAGAGAAAGCCTGCCCCAACTGTAACTCTGCCCTCGAGTTGATTCCTTGCCGGGGACACAGCGGCTATCCGGTCACAAACTTCTGGAGACTTGATGGCAAAGCAATATTTTTCCAGGTAGAAAGCAGCTGTATGTATTTGTGCACACTATATAATTACACCAGTATACAAAATAATACCTGTAAAGAGAGAGATTTCTTCCTCCTCCCCCCCCTTTTTAGGTAACACAGACCATTATGAACATGATGAAGTCCATGACTGAATTTCTCTTTAGTATGAATATAATAAGAACAAATAAAACAATAACGCTTGGATGTCTCTTTAAAAGCAGTACTTACGTGTTGGCAATATTCAGTTTTAACTACAATAATTTGGTTAGTCACTGATGGCTAAAATTCTCCTGTTTACAGAATACAAATACGAACAAAAGTTGTCTTGTACCCTGGTGCATATGACAACTGGATCTCTCCAATATTTATTTCCAATTATTTATTTCCTACTAAAATAAATATGAAAAAAAAGCATGACTTAAAGCATGAAAATTCTACTTCATGTGAAACTAGCCTTTGAATTTTGAAGGATTTAAAATCTTGACAGGAAAAAGAAGAATCTTCGCTGAAATTTGAAATTTCATCTTGATTTTTTTTTTAACAACATTGGAACAAAAAGTAAACAAAAAGTTCCTATTCTGTGAGATCACATTTTCTCTTGGATATATTTTTTCCCATGACTCACAAACAGTGAATTCTGTTCTCCACTCAGTAAATGGAAAAAAACCTGGCCATATTCTCAGATTCGCTCCTATATTATTCTTATTCAAATGCTCTCTTACAGACATGCAAAGCTGGAAGATTTTACTATCAAAAAAATTTGATAAATCCTTGCTTAGAAGTTAATTTCTGCTTGAGACAGTGTTTTAAAAGCAATTTTTAGGCTTCCTACTGTGTATTAGGGACTGTATATAGATCTGTTCAGGCAAATGAGTAAGGAAATGGTAGTGTCCATGACTTCATCACATACCAGTGTAACTTTGGTTAGGTAGATCTGCATACCCACAAATGTTTCAATAGCAGAGCATCTTCAGATGATTTTCCAGGATATAATTTTCAGTCCTGTTCAAGAAGGTGTATTGCTTGAAGAGAACATTTATCATCTTGTAGCACGAAACCTCTTTAAAGCCTATTTATTCTATTTATATACAGGCTTATAAAGCAGAACTGAGATACTGGACTGCAGAAAACTGGCCAAACAAAATTTATTTTTTTTCCTCCTTGGTTCTAATTCTGAATGCCACAAACATAGATAGCACTTTTGCTCCTTCATCAGCTCAGTAGTCCTTACTGACTTCTCACTTTTTCCTTCTATCTACATCCAAATCTTGATTTATTCTATTTATTTTCACAATGAATTTGTCCTTGTTTAGTTTCTCCTTTCTTTTTTCTTGTGCTAAACCACAGACCATGCTCTGACTACCTCTCATACTACTCAGAGCCTTTTCTCTTATCTTAGCCCTTTTAAGGTTCACATCTAATTCTCAGTTAATCCTAATTTAGGCTAAAGGAGTCCATGACCACCCCCGGCCGGAGAGTAAACTGGAGGCAGAGGCAAGAAGAAGTGCAGTTAAGAAGCAAATGTCCTCTTACCACCACTCCCAGAAAAAGAGATCTCTAAACTCAGAGGTAAGTCAACGTCATCAGTGAAATAAAAAAGGTGACAGAAATTACTTATGCAAATTAAAAAGGTGTGATAAGCATGTACTGGAGATCCCAGGGCAAAACAAACCTTTACACCATGCAACACCTGTTGATTTGGGGCTGAAACTAGCAACAGCACAAGTACTGAGACATATGTGTCCAGGCACTATTGATTCCTGTATCTTAAAAATCTACTTCTCCTTGTCAGGCAGGAAGGTACCATGACAGCAGTGGTTACACCAATAACCTACAGAATTTTCACTGCATGGATGGCCCAGAACGAGTCGGTATCTTCACAGACACCAATTTTTCAATTCCAGCCCAGTCCTACCCTTCTCTGCAGAGCACAGACCTCTACAAGGCACCTTATGACTCAGCCAGCTTCCAAGAGGACCAGCTTTCACCATACCCTAAATGCCCAAATCCTAGGATCTACATGCCCAGGCCGTGCAACTATGAGTTTGGAGTTCCTACCTTTATAAGCTCAAGTCCTTACCCACCATTTTACAAAGATCTGACCAGTCCAGCCATTGATGCAGACCCCCTC